TAAGGCACACTGAGATGTCAGAGGGAAGATGCAAACAGGATACTTGAGCACTGAGACTGGCACCAGTCCATCCCTGTTTGCATTCTCAATCAGAAATGGAATCCAAATGAACAAATTAGCATTTAGATTTATGTGCTCTGCCCAGTTAGAAGTGATTATGATCATTCAGGCAGGGCATTTTTAACTGGCCAGAGGAGGACAAGCCCACAATTTGTAAAGTGAAGAGCCTAGGACCTAATTCTGCCAATGGCCTTGGATGCCTTTTGGTTCCTGACATCCCAGAGGGGCCAGCCTGCATTGTGTGCTTTGTACACTCTGCTTCTGACCCTCTTAACACTGTGAGGTTCCCCTGCATTGCACCTAAGGGGCTATTTTACATCACTTACTTGTAATTAATAGAGAGGCTTGCCCTGCTGTCCCAGGGGGCTTTTTCCTTCCATCCAGCTTTTGCAATTTGAAAGCTGAAGAAGGGGGATCTGGGAATCTTCTCCTTGAAGAACGGGGCTACCAGCTTGCTGAGCTGACTGACAGCTCATGCTGGGCACTGATTAAACACAGGGAGCCAGTTCACCTCAGAAGTCTTTATTTGGGGTGTGATGAAACCCTTGGTGAAACCAATAGCAAAGCTTCCTCTGACTTCAAGAGTGCCCGGGTGTTTGATGGCAGATTCTTGTTCTCTAGAGTGCTACAAAGGTGGGGAGCATTTCCTCAAAAGCAGAGGGGGAGCCCAAGCAGAGCAGGGTTCCCTGCTTCTCTGTGCTGCCCAATCCTGAGACTGGGGTGGGTGTAATCCAGACCCTTTCAGCAAGGCCTCTTAGCCTTGCCCCTTTCCTGGAAGCACCTGGGCTCCTCTGGGCTGCAGCGACCCTCCCTGTGGGTGTCTCCTCACAGTTCTCAGGGGGCTGCACAGGACATGGCTGCTGTGCTTTGTGTGATGCTCCTGAGATGAGCTGCCACATTGCTTCCCACCAGGAACCCCCCAGAAAGGCAAGAAAGGCTGCAGGCTCATGAGAGGGGCAGTGGTGCAGGCAGAGAAACCTCTGTGAGAGCTGGGAGCAGGGTAGGGACAGCTGTGCTGGGGAAGTTGTTTATCCAGCCAGGAGGGAAATGTGAACAAGAAGCTGGAGCAGGGCAGTTGGAGCTTTGCTGCCCATCTGGTGCCCACTGCTGCTCAAGAGGAGTTCCTGAGTGCAGTGGGTCATGGAGCTGACAGCCCTTAGTGTCATCAGCAGCAAGTAAGGAGGACCCTGAGGTGTGAGGCTGAGGGACTGGGGCAGGGGACATTTGGTCCATGGTGTCCTGACAGCGTGTGCTAGATGTTAATGTGATATTCTTAAGAAATGAAGACTAATAATGCTCAGCTGAATAATTTAACAGGGAAGATGAAGCTCAGCTTGTGAGGCAGGTGCAGGCTCATGAATCATTTGCTGGAATTCTCCATCCTACACATGTGTTCACCTATGTGTTCCTGTGTGGTAAAAAGCATCCATGTCTGTGCATGTGCATCTTCTCCACTCTGGGAATTTAAGGCAGGCACATCCTGACTGCTGGATTCTGGGCCCAGCTGAGTGCATACAAATACAATTTTCTTATTCAGGTGTGCTCTCTGATTACTGTGCAGCCTGAGGTGATGACTGGAGGCCAGGGAGAATTTGTACTTCCAGAGTTTGCTGTGTAAGCCAGAAGTGGGTCCTCCCTGCTGCCCTGTTCCTCTCTTTCTCCCTCAAATGGGAGAGGTAAAACTTGACCTCCCGCTGTGTGTTCCTGTAGGGGACAGAGCTCTTTGTCTGAGACCTGTAGACAGAGTTTAGGATCCCCCAGGGACAGTTCTTAAGGCCTTAAGGTGGTTGAGTTAAAGCTGATGTGGACTCCCTCTGCTTGAGAGGCCTTTGACAATTTGTTCATCTTTGGCGGCAACATGAGACTTAGAAGGATTCAAGTGGTGGTGTCCTTCTTCATGGAAGCCTCTTCTGTGCAATCAGGACCATGGTTCCCTCTGCCTCAGCTGGGACATCTCCTGTTTCAGGAAGAAGCTGCCAGACAATCCTGCTGCTCTTCTCCAAGCCTCATCATCTGGACACATTTCTTGTATCTTGTTTTCTTCTCTCTACCCATATCTTCCAGAGCAGACAAAGACCAGCTCAGAGACCTGACCTCAGGTTGGTGGGTCTCTCAGAGTCACTGGAGCTGGCAAGGCCTCTGAAAATGGGCAGCCCTTTGCCCGGGGGTTGTTGTGACATGGGCAGGGGGAAAGTCTTCCTGTGCCCACCCCAGGTGCTGTTTCAGGGGGACAAGAGAGGATTGGTGGCCAGAGCTGGGGGTTTCCTCACAGTGCTTCCTCTTGTAGCCCCAGCCAGGAGCTGCCTCTGGGTTTGCACCACTTCTAATCCAAACTGCTGTACTGGCACTGCCACCTCAGTGCCAGGGCTGTGGGTACGTCACCTCACTGGGTCAGTGGCCCTGTGGGATGCACTCGCCCAGGGTGGCAGGTTTGGTGGGGTCACCACCCCTGGGGTCACGTCCCTGGCATGGGGGAAAGGATAGGGATGGACAGATGGGGAGAGGGGGCCCCTTCCCCAGAGATCATATCAAAATGTCTCTTTTGTGCAAAGCAGAGGGAATGCCCCCAAGAGCTGGTTTCCATGGCAACTGCAAATGTCAGGTTCCATGTGGTGAATAACCGTTTCCATGACAACACCTCCTTTATCCTAGGTGCTGGGAGCTGGAGTGACAGCCCTGTTGGGGGAGGGGACAGGGAGATGGCCTCAGGTACTTAACCTCCCCCTCGCCTCCCCCCATCCTTCCCGACTCGTGGCCCTCAGCCCCTGCATCCCTGGGAGGGAGGTGCTGGATGTGTGTGCACTGCATTTCCACAGCATCCCTGCTGCTCCTTGTACCCCCAAATGGCTTTGGGGCTTTGGCTTCCTCACAGAAGCTGAGATCTGAGTCTGTGCCTTGTCTCCCTCCCCATCAGTTCAGTTAGTTTAGCCCTGGTTTGGCATCTTGAGTAGAAGCAAAACTGTTCCTTGGTGCTGGGGGAATCCATGTCCTGGGTGTGACGTGGCCAGCTGCCTCTCCTGGCTCTGCACGGAGCCCTCTTTTCTGAGCACACATCTGGGCTGCCTGCCCTCTCCCACTCAGCCTGCTCCCACAGCTCTGCCAGCCTCAGCTCTCACAGGCAGGGTGCCAGGGACTGTGAGCAGTGACAGCAGCCTCTCAGCAAGGAAATTGGAGGCTTTGTGGAACAATCTCTGACCTCAGACTCCTGAATCCCTGCCCCACATCCCACTCAGCTCAGGAAAGAGGTGCTGGGCCCTCGACAGTTCCCCACTTGGCAGCAAGAGCAGGACATCAGGAGCTCTGCAAATCCCTGCAGCTGATCAGGAGTGGGGAAAGGACCTGCAGCCTCTCCCTCTTCCCTAAATGATTCAGCAGGTCTTAGGGTTGTTGTCTGTCAAGGTGCAGCTTGGCAGCAGCTTGGCCTTCCTCTGGGGAGCTGCCAGCCCATCCCTGGGGCCATTATCAGCAGCCCCATGATCAATCCTTGAGGCAGGAATGGCGTGGGCCTGCTCCCAGCCTCTGCTCGTCCTGCCTGAGGTCCATCAGCCAGAGGAAGCCAGCTTCAGAGCCCCCAGCTGCCAGGCTGTGTGCCATGCCCTGCCAGCCTGTCACCTCCTGGTTGGCATCTCTGTCCTGTGAACTGCAGAGCCACCTCACAGGTTTCCTCCAGCTCTTGGGGATGTGGGCTCTGCCTCTGGTTTCTGGCCAGTCTGGCTCAGCCACCACTTGGAGACTGACAGGCCTCCACATATTGCATGCTGGCTTCTAAGCACATTTCACTTGGTGACTTTTATAGCTTGATTTCATTTTCTGTTTTGTTGCTGTTTTTCCTCAGGGGTTTCCTAAAAGAGGAGGCAGACTGTGCCTGGACCTGCAGCTCGTGTGCAGGCCTTCCCTGCAATATTCTGATTGTTTTTTGTTATGAATGTCACTGATTCAGGTCACTGTCAGCCTCTGTGACTGATGCTGAGAGACATGGAGTGAGATGTGCTGTGAATGTGGAAATCTGCCCTGTGCACCATTCCTTGGAGGATACTCTGGTGCAGTTGGATCCTGCTAGCTGGGAAAGGAGGCTGCAGCTTGTCAGCTGCCTCTCTGGGCAGCACAGGACACACAGACCTGCCAGCAGATGAGTTTTGCCCTGCTTTTCAAACCAGACAGTTAAAGCTGTGTGTTCCTTAATGCAGCTACTTCTGTCTTACCTGGAGAATCCCCATACCTTGTGAGCTAAGCTACCCTTCAGGCTTGTTGGTTGTTGGATTATTGCTGGTGACACTAATGGCTGCAGGAGAAGGAAAAACCTCTTCTCCACACCCAGGCAAGAAGAGTTTTGCCACTTTCAACCTGAGCATTGTCTCTGAGGGCCAGAGATGTTGCTGGAGAGCATTGCTGCCCTTCTCAAGAGCTACTCTGGTGCACAGAGCCGTCTGTGAGAGGGCTGGGGAAGGGGGAACATGACAGGCCTGCTTGCTGTGCTGCTTCTGGCCAAGTTCAGAGGCAGTGTCCCTTCCCTGCTGCAAGGACAGTAAGTGGCTCAGTTCGGAGACGTGGCCATGCCTGCACTGAGTCAGGGCAGACACAGGAAGAGCTTCCAGGCACAGTCTCACCTCAGGCCACCCTGACCACTGTTCAGGCTCCAGTCACATGGTGATGAGCTGCTTCCTCAGAGTCCTCTGTGTGCTGCCTGCAGCAGCTGAGGAGGCAGAGCTTTATGCATGGTGGGCATTTCCAGGAGAGCTGCTCTCTCAGCGAGCAGCTGAGCAGGGAAAAGCGCCAGGTTCCTTTTGGAAAAAACGATCCCTTCTTCAAGGGTACTGCTTGCCATCACAATATCTTGGTTTCCCTTCTGCCTCTCTCCTCTGCCCTGTTGACAGTGCCTTCAGCAGCGTGTGCTGGGCACTGGGCCAAGCAATAACCTCTGCATTTCTCTTCCCTTGCAGATGGCGCGCCCGATCCAGGTGAAACCTGCGGACAGCGAGAGCCGTGGAGGTAGTTGTCATCTCTCCTTGTTTCTCCTTTGGTGGCCCTTGTGCTTGTGAGGGGGACCAGGAAATGAGACACAGGGTCCTGACCCTGCCTTCCTCTGTTTGAGGAGGGGTCTGTGTGTGGCAGAGATCGGGGGGGCAGGAGGGCAGTGTGGGGACACAGCTGGACACAGCAGGCAGCTGACAGCACTTGGGGTCCTGAGGGTGATGATGTGGCTGCCCCCTCCACTCTCTTTCCCAGCTCTTTGAGGGTGCCATCAGCCTGGCAGTGTCTGCCCCAGGACATGACTGAAACAGACCTGTGTGGCACAGGGGCTCCTGAAGCCTTTGGGAAGAGGTTCCTTCATTCCTACACCTGATCAGCCCAATAAGAGCTAGATCCCTGAAGCAGCACTGGATTTTTAATGTGTTCAGCTCACTGGTCTGCAGCTGATTCTCCTGCCTGCAGCTCCCTCCACTGCCTCCCCCATCACTGCTGAGCTGTCTCAGCCCTGCTGCTCTCAGTCCTGCAGCAGCCCCCAGCACATTGTCAAGGCCAAAATGCTGTTGCAGAAAGGATCACATGATGGGGAAATAATGTCTGAAGGGAAAGGATCCTGAGATGGAGGTGCTGTCAGCCTGCAGGGGACAGCTTGGTCAGAGCAGCATATACTGAGAAGTTCAGAGCTGGAAGGTTGGGAACAAGAGAATCTGGTAATTTAATGGGGAGCTCTCAGCAGCTCAAATACCTCCTCCAGGTGGAGAAGGCTTGCAACTTCAGCCGTCTGCAAACCCATTAACTCATTTTGCTTCTTTTCCTTGCTTCACTGATCTATTTCTTCTCCTTTTCTCTCCATTCCTACCTCTGCCTCTCCATGCCCTGTGCTGTTGGTGCTGCCCCTGAAAGCAGTTTAGTAGAGGCCAGGGAAGGGTTTGTGTGCTGCTGTTGGTGCTGTGGGACAGCATGTCCTGCATGCTTTATTTAGATTTGGAAGGCTTTTGTTTTACATTTCCAAACAGTTTGTAGTGACTGTTATTGCACTGTCAAGAAAATTAGATATATTTGGTAATATTTCATGTGAATGTGTGTATTTATAGTTGTGTGATACTCCTTTAAAAAAAAAGTCTGTTTAAATCGGATAGAATCTGTAACTTTTGGTTATTTACTTGTAAACCTCAGTTTTTCTGAGGTCTGGACATTTTACTTCAGCCCCTTGGTTTAGGGTTGAATTTAAGGTCCTTACCTGTGCTATAGGCAGTAAAAACAGTCCAGAATCTTCAGGGTGTTTCACTCTCACTGTTGAAAATGATGTTATGAATGGATGAGAGATCCTTTAGAGATGCCTGCAGTGGGTGGTGTGGGGAGGGCTGCCTTCTCACTGAGACCTCACATGGCCTCTGGATTCAACCACTGGGTGGTCAGTCCTTCCCCTACCACATTGATTTAAAAAAAAAAAGAAGTTTATGTGTCTGGTGGGTGCAACTCTGGAGTCTCTGGTGTCTAATCAGGGCTGAGGCCATCTCTGCATCTCTCTTTTGCTGGGGGGGCACTGCTGGGGGCTCTTCTGTACACACCCACCTGATGTGAAGGGTTCATCATTGACATCTTTGATGCCTCTTTCACATCGAGCTGGAACAGCTCAGCAGGTTAAAAACCAAGGTGCTGATTCAGAAACAAGCTTTTGGCCAAGGCGCTGGACTCTGAAATCTCTAAGTTTATGACGAGTGCCACATTCCTTAATGGTTGCAAATGTCAGAACATCAACTCTGCTTCCCATGGACAAGAGCAGAAGTCTTTGGAGTCTGAGCACCTGTCTCCTGCAGCCTGTGCACCTCCCTCCAGGCTCCCTGCAGAGCCCAAGAACAAGCAGCTCCCACAGGATCCATGACAAACTGGATTTTTTCCTGAGGCAGGAGCAGCATCAAGACAGCACCCTGTGTTTGTCTGAGACAGATTGCTCTTCTGAAACGTTTCTGTCATGATGCTCCACTTGTCAGAGAAGTGGCTGAACAACTTTGCAGATATGGGAAGAGCAATATCCCTATAGCAATAGCCCCACACTGGCAGGAGGAGAAAGAAAGACTTGGGGCAGGGCAGAAGTGTATGGATTAGGAATTTATCAAGGAGTAGCTGCATGCATCAGTGAGGCATTGCTCTGCATTACCCTTGAAGGGAACCTCTTTAGTACTCATCAGGGACTGACATTTCTCAAGTGAAGCACCCTGAATTAAGAACATGAAGTTAAAACACCAGAATTTATCTCTTGGTCTGGGAGATGTTCATTTTTCTGCCAAAGGGGCAGTTTTGGCCAAGCCCTGCAGGGGTTGTGTGGGAATATCTGGATGCTCAGTGCTCCTGCACCCTGCAGAAGAAATTCACTACAGAAAAGTTGCTGCCTGCATTAGTTCAGAGTGGGACTTGTGATTCTGGGCCAGACATTGTCAGCTTTTCCCTGCTCTCTGCTGGGAGCCTGGAGTGCCAGGAGGAGAGGGGCAGAGGAGTTTGTGTGCCAGGAGCACGGGGCTGCAGTGATGGGCATGACAGGTAACCCAAGCCTTTAGCCCTGCCCAGGGACAAGGAAGCTCTCTCTGCATCCCGAGGAGATTTGCTGCATCCCATCCACAGCCAGGAGCTGGCTTCCCTCTCTCCCTGATCCTGCCTGCTGAATGACCTGAATTCAGTGGCTTTGTAGGAGCCGTGTCCAGAGCTTGTGTGCTCTCCCTTGGCCACAGCATTCAGCCTCAACCCCTGGCTCATTCCTGTGGTACCTTCATCAAGAGTGTGCTCTGTGCCGGCCCCTCCTGCTGCCGGTGCCCAGAGCATGTTTCCATGGGAACTCGACAGTCAGAGATCATCACAGCGAATTTCCCTGCTTGCTGGACAGCACGGGAAATTGCCAATCAGAGGGTGAAAAGCAGGAGCTGTAGAGAAAGTGAAGGGGAAAACAGCAGGAGGGGAGGGTGTGCTGTGCCGAGGAGGGGAGAGAAGAGCTTCCAGTGTGCAGGAATCCCTGTGGGGAGCTGAAGAATGATGGAGCTGATGACCTGAGAATGCCAGCGGGTTTGGGATCAGCCCTGAGAGTGCCAGAGGGTTTGGGATCGGTGGTTTTAGGATCACAGCTCAGGTGGAAGGGTTTGATGGCAGATCAGGTGGAAGGGTTTGCAGCATTCCAGCCCGGCTGGGGAGGGATGAGTCAGCCTGGATATTGTGGGAGAACAGCCCTGTTTGGAAGCTGACGGAATCGAGAGGATCCCGGATCATGGGTTGGGCTCCAAGATGCAGAGAGGTGGAGGCCAGAGCAGAAGAGCCCTTTCAGATGTCCCCAGCTGCTGCAGAGGCATCCAGAGGGAACAGGCTGGATCATTTTCCTTCGTGTGATTTTCAGAAACAGGCTGTATGAAGCAGGATATTCACTATTAAAAAATCTTATGTTGTCAGTGATTTCATTCCCTTTTACTATTGCTCTTCTTGGTATTCAGAAAAGATTCCAGACCCATAGGTGTGTGTGTATTTATGTTTGCCTTTATAGCTTGAGTCCCTAAGGTGTCACAGTTTTAACCTGTGCTGCATAGCCAGGAAGACTGGCATTTTTTTTTCCTTCCAAACTGCAAAAAGGAAAGCTGAAATTCCCACATGAAGGCAGGACATCCAAAAGGTTCTGTTAGTGAGCCCTGTCAGACAGCAGAAGACCTGTAAAGCTGCAGGCATGGAGCAGTCACTGTTTCAATGGACTTTTCCCACAGGGCAGGGTAAAGAAAAATGCTTTTGATTCAACAGAAATGGTGTGAGGAAGAAACTACAGGAATTACCCAGGAAATCTGAGGGGGCTCTGAAGGAGAAAATAATGAGTCACTTGTAATTTGATGTTGATTTGATTGCAAGGTGCAGGATAACTCAAGACATCTCAACACCCCCTGCCCCAGGCAGCCAGGGGTCCCTGAAGAGAAAGGCAAAACCATCAGGTGCATTTCTGGCTGTCAGATCTTAGCCCACAGTTATTTTCCCACTAGTTCAAAGAACAGAGGATTATTTCACAGCACCTAAAGTCAGTGCAAGTGTTTCCCAATGTATTTCTCCCCTTTGTTGATGATTTTTTAAGGAACCCCCTGTGTTTGCCACCCAAAGGCTGCAGCATGTGTGAATAAAGGCCTGGTTGCAGCTGCAGTGGAGATTCAGGGTAGAGGAAGGAGGAACCCTCCAGACCTCCAGTGTCCCCTGCCGTGGCCATACTGGCTCACATCTGACACCAGCTGATGTCAGTCACACCACAGAGCTGCTGCTCCTTTCGTTTTCATGCTCCTCTTCACTGCCCAGTCAATCTGTTCCTGTCCAGTCCCTTTTTTTTTCGCCCTCTCTCTTTCAATCTGATTTTTCACCTTCTCTGTGTGCTGTTTTCTGGCTGGTTTGACCACCAGCACTCCTGAGCTGGCCCTTGTGCAGGCAGGTGCTGTGTCCCTGCTCAGGAGGCAGCTGAACAGCACCTGCTTTATGAACTCCTGTGCCTTGGCTGGGGATTATTGGGCATCCCCAATCTGAATGGACTCAATCAGCTGAAATAATGTCTGCAAAGGCAGCCATTGCCATGCAGGTGCAGGGAGGAATGTAGAAAAAGAATCACAAGGAAAACAGAAGGGGATGAAATTCCCATGGGTGTAGTTGCCCAGGGATTCATGAAAATGGGGAAGCTGGGAAACCTGGCCTTTAAAAAAATATGCAATGCCATATATTTCAGCCACTTCCAGTTCTATAAATCAGGAGTATCTTCTTGGGAGTGGGCTAAGAGCCTGGGCTGCAGCACTTCCAACACTTTATTTGTGTGGTGGACACAAGTGGCACATGTCTGCCTGGGGCTCCAGGAGAGCTGTGCCTGGCTGAGCCTGTGCTGGGGCTCTGGGGCAGGGTGAGGTGACTGCATGCTGGGTGAGTGTGGCTGTCTGCACATTCCTCTTGCTCACTAAGGAATTTCGTTCTGGAAGGCATCCCCGGGGGCTGGGGATGTATAAGTGTGTTCCAGGGTGTGTGAGCCTTTGTGCTCATCCATTAGTGCTGCTTGGGTGCATCTGCTTTCCTGTGAAGGACCCGTGGCAGGAGTAGGTCCTGCCTGTGTGTGCTGCTGAGTGCCTCTGTCCCTGGCTGAGCAGCAGGGAGGGTGCCTCCCTTCCTTACCTGGGTGGGAACCATCCCCTGAGCCAAGAGGAGCAGGGCAGGGGCTGGGGCGAGCCTTGGTGACAGCGTGAATGTGTCATGTGCCATCCTTGCCTGGCAGCCCTCCACAGCACCCCCCTGGAGCTGCTGTGCTGCTGTAGCTCCAAGACCTGTTGTTTTTCAGGTCAGTGCACTGTGAAGCACAGAGCAGCTCCCTTGCTATTGCCCCTGACGTGCGTCACATTGCATTGCTTTGTGTGGAGCCAGCCCCTCTGATCCTGTCGCCAGCAATAAGGAATCCTCTGGCACTGCTCTCCAGAGCCACATCCTGACACGTTCCCTCCTGTGGGTCCTGTCTCCCCACTCAGATCTGGGCCAGTGGGGGAGGGTTAGCTCTGTTCCTGGCAAAGACAGAGGTTGGGCTGCTGTTTCTGCTGGGATTTTGGTGTTGTGCTGTTTTACTGCTGTTCACATCAGTCTGGGGAGGATGCTGCCCCAAACTCTGCTGTGGTTGTGCTTGGCTGGACAGCATCAGGCATGGGCTGGGCTCCTGTGGGTGCTGAGGTGGGGAGAGACTAGGAGAAGGCACTCTGCCCCTTCCTTGCCTCCACACCTACCCATCCCAACAAAACCATAATCCTCACTTCTCTCTTTGAGGAGGAGCCCAGAAGGAGGCTGAGCTCCAAGTCCTGGATGTGTTGGCCACTCTTCCAGCTCCCTGCCAGTGTGACACAGTGCCACTGGAGAGAGGGGAGCAGGGACCACGGAGCTGATCTTGGCCTTCACCCAGCTGTAGGATTTGCATGATCCTACAGTGAGGCAGATTGGGAGCCAGGATGCCAGGGTTTATCCCAGGCCTTGGGAGACAGCTGGTTAGGCTGGAGTGGGGAAGGGCAAATGGAAATCAAGGTGCTTGGTTACATGGCAGCTAAGGGAATGGTGGTCTTGGAGAGAAGGAAAAGGAAACAGAAGTCAAAGGTCCTGGAATGTATCCCCCTGCCTGGGTTGGTGTGCAGTATTACCTAAGGCACCTGCTGGACTTCACCTGCAGATCAGTAGAAATGGGATTGCCCAGACAGTTTTTCTTACTATAATTTATTTTGGATTATTCGAAGGAAAAGGCTAATGAATGAAAGGAAACTATTAATCCTTTGTTTTCCATTGGGGAGGGTAGGAGAGGGGAAGCCACACAAACCCTTGAAGGTGTGAGGAGCTTGGGTAGACCCTGATGTTCACCCCTGGAAGCATTTCAGCCAACAGCAAACCATTTCCATGGCAGGCATGTTTTTAACACCAGGCTGTTTTGTCCATAAGTGTTCCTCTCCTCCTGCTCTGGACTGCAAGCCTCATAGAAGGTTGATGTTTCTGTGTTTGCCCCTAGGGGACAGGAAGCTCTTTGTGGGCATGTTAAATAAGCAGCAGTCTGAGGATGACGTGCTCCGGCTCTTTGAACCGTTTGGGGTCATTGATGAATGCACGGTGCTCCGTGGACCTGATGGGAACAGCAAAGGTGTGAACCCTCTGTGTGTCCTGCCCTTTGTCCCTGTCCTGGGTGGTGCTCACCAGCCTCACCTTCCCCCTGGGGCACTCATTCCCCTCCCTGTATTTAGGGAACCCGTAACACAGCCAGGAATAGGGAGCAGGGCAGGATCCCTCTGCTGCCAGGAGGGACTGGGGAGGGTGGGCAGAGACTGAGGGAGCAGGAGGGGACGCAGAGCACCATGAGTAGCTGAGCTGTCAGGGTCACTCCTGAGCCTGTTCTGTCCAGCTGGGGCTGCAGGCTGAAGTGTTTGTACCCACAGTGAGGAGTCCACAGAGAATTTGGGGAAGAGGTGATCAGGGGCAAGGGTGGAGATGGTGTCATCATCTGTAGAGTATATCATTGAAGTAATAATTTGAGACCCTTCCTCTTTTTTCCAGGATAGAGGACTTGGGATCAGTCATCCTTTTTGTTCCCTGCTTCCTTGGGGTGGCTTTCCTTTGCCTTACCTGAGATACAGACACTGTCTCTTGCGTGGTGGCACTTTCACAGCAGTCCTGTCACTGCAATCTCCTGTGCTCTTTCTGTCCCTTTCCAGGCTGTGCTTTTGTAAAGTTCTCATCTCACACAGAGGCTCAGGCAGCAATCCACGCACTCCATGGCAGCCAGACAATGCCCGTGAGTATAAGGCCAGGGGACCTACCCTCTTCCTAATCCTTGTCCCATTTCCCTGTTGCAGGGACCTCCCCACACTCTCCTAAAAACACAACAGGTTCAACAGCAGTGTCCACTGGCGTGGTTGGGAGGTTGCAAATAAACCTGTGGGTGTGTGTGTGCACGTCTGTGCTCCACTCAGAGTGACCATCCTCTCCCCTGGGCTGCTCTTTGTGTTCATCCAGACTGGGAGGGACAGCACTCACAGCTGTAAAAGCTAAATAAAAGAGAGCCAAAAATCAGGCCATGATTTTATATTGGAAACAGCTACCTGTTCAAAACTGAGCAGGGTGAAAGCTGACAGTTCAGCCACATGGGTGGTCAGGGCTTCAGTGTCTGAGCACTCCTTGGCTTCTCTGATTTAGGCAGTAGAGGAGGCCCCCGGGGCGGGCTGGGTGTGGGTGGGAACCCTTTGAGCCTGTGTGGCTGGAGCTGTGCAAGTGGAGCTGCAGCTGTGGCCTCATCTCTGGCAACCTCCAACCTGAGTTTGGGGCACCTCATGGACAGGACAGTGCACTGCTGCAGCCAGGGAATTCCCAGCTGCCAGGAGCTGCTCTGCCTGTCCAGCCAAGCTCATGGTGCTGCTTGTGGCCATCGATGCCCTGGGTGTTCCTGGCTGCACCATCACCTGGTGAGTGCATCCGCGTAGGCAGCTGTGTGAGGCTCAGGTGTGAGAAGGGTTGGATGGACAGACAGATGGGGAAGGGCACAGCCGAGGTTCCAGGCAGCTCCCCAGCACTTGCACACCAGTATTTGCTCTTCTGCTCCTCTTCCCACTCCTCTGCTGCCTGTCCTGCCCCGTCCTCCCTTGCCTGACCGCTGACTCTCTGGCTCTCCCACGCCTCTTCTCTCCTGCCTCCTCTCTGTCTCCTCTCTCTGTGCCTAGGGTGCCTCCTCCAGTCTAGTGGTGAAGTTTGCTGACACAGATAAGGAGAGGACCCTGCGCCGTATGCAGCAAATGGTGGGGCAGCTGGGCATTTTCACTCCATCTCTCTCCCTGCCGTTCAGCCCATACAGCGCCTATGCGCAGGCTGTGAGTATCCCGCGGGGGAGGGGGGAACGCTGCCCTGCCGGCCCCGGGCAGCCCCTGGGACACCTCAAACTCAGCTCCTGCAGCTGTGGGAATGCTCCCCAGCACCTGGCAGCGCTCCTGGCTCCTTTCAGCACTCTGCTGCCTCGTCTTGCAGAGTTTTTGTGCGGTTTTCTGCTGGAAATGGGGGGGCAGGGGAGAGCTGGGGCTTCCTCAAAGTGAATTGGGATTTCTCTGATGTTGTTGGAGGTGTTGGGAGCAGGTCAGTCATGACCCATTTCCTTTGTGTCTTGTTATGAGGAGAGCTCAGAGGATTGGTGCCTGGGTGATGTCTGACACACACCTCTGATACCAGCTTGTGAACACTTCCTCTGGCTCTGTGACACAAATGTGTCTCTGTGGGTTTGGAGCAGCAGGAGAGCTCTGGGACCCAGCTCCATGAGTTCATTTCTCTGCTGAAATTCCCAGTAGGGCCCTATTCCCTCAGTGCTGTCCTTGGCTCCCAGGTTCTCTCACTTGGCCAGTGGGACTGTGGAGTTTGCAGGGTGCTGGAGAGGGAGCAGTGGGTAGCAGAGAGCCAGAGGTGTTTCAGCAGCCTGGCTGTGCTTTGGGTTTTAGTGAGAGAATCTCCTTGCCCTGGAGCCATGGTGGCAATTGCCATTGATGTTCGAGGTAGGTCCCAAACTCAGCAAGTCCCAGATCTACTGTGGTGGAGCATTGTTTGAGCCTCCTTGGTGGATTGTTGTTTTCAGGTCTCTGCTGCCAAGTGTAAAGCCCATGGAAGGAGGCTCAGAAATTGCTCAAGGCAGGAGAGATTCCTGTGTCCTGTTGACAGAGAAATCAAAAGTAGATACTGTTACTGCAAGTAATTTTCTAGGGGGATGTGCAAATAAACCTGTTCTTCTTGTGCATGTGGACACCTCCTCTGGCTTCAGCAGCTCCTTGATGTGCCTTCCTTTCATTCACGGGACAGAGGAGGAACTGCTTCTCAATTGCTGGCTCAATCCTCAAAGACTCCCCAGAAACTGCCAAATGCATTTTAAATGTGTGGCAAGAGTATGGATGAGGAAAAAAAAGGAAATACATATGAGGCTCTATAACTTTGGGGAAATTTGCAAGCCAAACATAGAATTGATCCATCACAGATTATTTGAAGAGCCATTTGTGACCAGGCACCACCTTTTGCCAGGATCCTTCTTTTCTGTCCAGCCCAGGACCAGCTGCACCTGAGGTCAGAATTGTAGCCATCTGTGAGAGGATCATCCTGGTTTGTCTCCTGCTGTCCTAGAGATGGCCCTGACTTGGGCATGGTGTGGTGGTGAAGGCAGGGATGGACCCCACAGTGAGGTTATGGTGGCAGGAGCTGCTTTATCAGCTTGAGGTGCAGGCTGTGTAAGGAGGAAGAGCAGTGAGAGCTTCCAGACTCAGCCTTTTAATCTTCAGGAGCCCTGCTGATGCCAAGAAGGCAGTCATATCTAAGCTGTGCCTCCTTGCTTGTCTGCATCTTCTTTCTCCTCAGTTGTGTCTGTTACTGTGTTTCTTTCTGATTCTTCACTGGCCTTCCCTCTGTGACTTTGTTTTGGCTCTCCCCTTGACTCCAGACTCAGTCTGTCTCCCACTTTTTTGGGATATTTTTCCTTCTTTTCTTTTTCCTTTCCACTGGGTTTGGTTCTCCTTGTTTTTTTCCCCCTGAGGCACTGACCTCACACCTGACTCTTTCTTCTCTTGTGCCATCCTTATCTTTGGTCTCCCTTCTGGAGGAGAGATCCCAGCCAGTCCTCACACACACAGGGAATCAGCCCTTTGGAATGCCACCTGACATCTCTGGAAGTGGGGGCAAAAGAGAGGGATTTCCATGCTGAATCTCCTTATGGTTCCTCAAAATGCTCTGCCATGGGCAGCCCTTGGCAGCTGGGACCTCTGGTAAGCCAGGGCTCAGGGAAGCCCAAAATCCCTCATGCCTTCCTGATTCTGGGCTTGGAGGAGTAAATCCTGCACCCAAGGTCCCCCCAGGGTGGGAGGTGCAGCCTCACCATTCTGGATCCTGACTGTTCTGGATCCTGACATTCTGGATGTGGCTGAACCAGACTGACAGGAGCAAGAGCTGCCGGGGTGAACTGGTGCACCAGAGGCTGCACAGGTTCTTGTAGCCATAATTTAATACACAACAGATTCCTCTCCCTGTCCCCACGGGGTTTGCTGAGTTACCAAGCCAAAGTGGTCCCCAGGGCTTTAGGAAGAAGTTTGGAGCCTGGGTTGTTTTTGTTTTGTTTTCAGTTGTCTGTTTTAAATTTATATATAACCTTCACAAACTATCTCAAATTAAACATGAAATAATCATACACTAAGTTCAGTCTAAAGTTATTCAGATCTATGCAAATATGCAAAATAAGGTACTTAAAATGTCAAGCAGTGCATGTTAGCTGAAACTGTACAAAAAAGTCTCATCTGGGAAGTACAACTGGCTAAGAATCTGAAAGCAGTTTGTTTCAGTGCTTAAATCAGCTTTTGATCCCAGGTGCTTCTGCAAATGAGTTCATTTTATCCAACAAGTTAGTTCAGGTGGACTCAGGGAAATGTTTGGGAGCTGAACAAAAAATTATCAATAAAAAAAAAGGCCTAAAGTCTTAAAAAAGAAACTGTAGCAATTTACTAAGTGCTTATAATGCTTGAATATTTCTTGTATATCATAAATCAATTAGTTCCAAACACAAAACGTAATTTGTTCACACCTCCCCTCCTTTTATTTCTGCTCTTACGGTTCATTATGGTAATTTTATGTAAGTGAAGAGAACAATTCCAGAGTGCCAATTTGGTGCTTGTGTAGCCTTGGTCCAGCCAGAGCCCAGCACAGAAGAGGCATTAATGAGAAAAGAGAAGATCAATATTCACATAGTGAGTAGGAAATGAGTTGGTTCCTGCACCCTGAGTGGGGACAGGAGCAGGAGCTGGTGGGGCTCTGCCCAGGGACCCCAGGGAGGGCACGTGTCACTGCAGCCCTGGCTCGGGTGGCTCCCAGCTCCAGGAGAGCCAGGGATGGTGGGTGGTGAGCAGAGGTGATACCAGGGCTTGTCCTTCCTGGAATGGCACAGGAGTGACCCTGTGCTCTCAGTCCCAGAGCCCTGCATTGGGACAGGCCTGGGAGCACTCACCAGTCCCCAAAAAAAGGGAAAGCCAATTTCACCCCATGGCTTTGCTTGTTCCAGCTTACAGAGGCAGCCCTGCCATGAAATTCCTCTTCTTTTTGTGCTAAAGCCATGATCAGCTTCTGTGTGAGGAAATTGGGAGGTTTAGCTAGCCACAAACTTCTCACAGTTACCAGATCCTTCAGCTGAGCCCTGGGCCCAGCTGACTTCAGCCCTTGGGCAAGGGTGGCTTCCTGGAGAGCTCTGTGTTTGTGTTGCAAAGCAGACAGTGGGATGTGGCAATGTCAGGAAGATTTTTGTTGTTTCCTTGGGTTTTGCCTTGTGTCACCCCTCAGCTCCTCCTGAGGAACTCAGGTTTCCTAAGAGCCATGCCTGTGCCTCCCCTGCTCTTCTTGCTTGATGTGAAGACAGAGCTGATAATGGGCTGGATAATTTTGCATCCAGAACGAAGTCTTTTTTGCACTCTGAGGGCATCTTATGCTCCCACTGATGGTCAAATAGGACCAGAAGGATTTTTTTTCTTCTCTTAACCTCCCACCCTTCCTTGTGTACTGTGCATCTCTCCCTTGGCAGGTGTGTCATGGCACCACGAGGAGCTGATGTCCCCCAGCCCCGGGGTGCAGGCCAGTGCCAGGGCACAGCCTGAGTTCAGGGGCTCACGGGCCAGACCTCTGAGGGCAAAGCAGGCCACGAGAGCTGGGCCTGGGCACACAGCTGGTGCCCGTGCCAGAGCGAGCCCTGCGTGCCCCAGCAGGGAGGCTGGGCAGAAGCAGGAGGATCTGGGCAAAGTTCCTCAAGGCAAAGCTGTGTTATTAAATCTGTCACTGTCCTGGCAGAAGTGACCAGGGACAGGGGCCTGTGCCTGACAGTGCAAGGGCCCGTGGGGAGATGGTGCTGCTGGGTGCCAGGAGCACGGCCCTGGCCCGCTCCCTCCCCACTGCAGCAGCTCTCAGAGCCCCGGGGGCCTGTCCTGGTGCCCTTGCCCAGCTGAGTGAGCCACAGCCCCTCGGGGCTGCTGGTCCATGGAGAGGGCGAGGCACGGGGTGCCCAGCCGTGGCCCTGGCTTTGTGCTCTGGGATGCCCCCTGAGCTGTGTCCCCTGCCTGCAGGACAGGGTGGCTCTCACGGGTGGCCACTGTCCCGCGTGGGCAGGGACAGCAGCTGTGTGAGTACGTGGCTGCAGGGACCTCGTGGGGCTGGGCCTGGGGGGGACAGCCACCCCTGCCCACCCCAGCAGGTCTGGCAGTGTCAGGGGAAGCTCCGGGGCAGGTGGCAGGACCTGGGGGAGGTGACAGCCAGGCTGGTCTGCTCAGCCTCCCCCAGCTCTGCAGGGCCCTGGCGGCGGGAGGCCCTGACTGCACGGTCCTGCTTTGCAGCTGATGCAGCAGCAGACCACGGTTCTCTCCACCTCCCACGGCAGCTACCTGAGCCCGGGCGTCGCCTTCTCCCCGTGCCACATCCAGCAGATCGGGGCCGTCAGTCTCAACGGGCTGCCAGCCACTCCCATTGCACCAGCGTCAGGTGAGGCCTCCGGGGCAGGAACTCCCGGCCCAGCACTCACGGGCTCACCCGGGTAGAACAGTTCTGCACCTCCCGGGCAGCAGCTGCATTAGCTCACTGCTCTCCAGTGCAGCCTCTGAGCACAGCAGAATCTGCTCAATTCCTCAACCCCCCCGACACCCTCGCATGTTCAGCACATCCTCTTGCCCTACAGCTGTGCATTCTTGCTGCAGTTTTAGTAAAGGCCTGGGTTCCCAGGATTGCACTTGGCTCAGATCAGCAGTGCTGCTGTTCATGATCATCACCCCACAGCAGTAATGCATGTTGGGTTCAAACCCTGTCAGGGCAGGCGTGTGTCCTGCCAGGTGCTGTGCAAAGTCAGATCAGAGATGTTCCCCCCTCAAAGCTCTGAGACTCAGGACTGGCAGTTCTTCTCACACTCTTCCCACTAGTGCTGCCTCTTCGTTTTGTGAAGGCTCCAGTCTGTCATCTCCATGTGCCAAAGAGAAGAGTTAATGGCTTCATACACAGCAGTCTTGCCTGGTGGAAGGGGGGAGCAGGGGCTTTGTGGGACCTTGACTTTCACGGGCTGTCCTCTCTTCTTGTTCTCCAGGGCTACATTCACCACCTCTCCTGGGAACAGCAGCCATGCCAGGACTGGTGGCACCCATTTCCAATGGATTCACTGGAGTGGTACCATTCCCAAATGGGCATCCAACCTTGGAAACAGTTTACACCAATGGCCTTGTGCCATATTCAGGTATTGAGAGCAGTAAAAAAAACCCACCATGCAGAGACCTTTGAAATTGCAGTTAGCTCCTCTTTTCTGGATTCCCCACACTTTTGTAGCTCCCTCCCAGCCAAGCACTGAGACTCACTTGGGGGCGAGGGTGGGAAACAACACTACACACACACACACAGAATGCATGAGTGATTCCCTTTGCTGTGCTTCTGATTGTGTTTTTCTCTGCAGCCCAGAGCCCTTCAGTAGCAGAGACTTTGCACCCAGCCTTCACAGGAGTTCAGCAGTATGCAGGTACCAGCTTCCCTTGTCTCCCTCAGCCCCTTGTGTGGCTGACCAGATCCTCAGGTAAACGGTTTGTTCTGTCTCCTTGGGCTGCAGCTGTGTATCCAACCACCACCATCACCCCCATTGCACAGAGCATCCCTCAGCAGCCTCCCATCCTGCAGCAGCAGCAGCGAGAAGGTGAGGATCTCAGTGGGAGCAGGGGTGTCCAGTGGTGTGGGTGGGATTTGTGGAGCTCATCTTCTGCACAACAGAGACAATGGAGAGGGGATAGCACTAATTTTTGTCCACTGATCTTTAATGCTGGAGCTGGGGTATGGAGACAACCACATGTCTGCAGTGAGTGGGAAGGATCACAGGATGTTTCCTGACCTCACATCTGGCCAGATGCTGCCAGGTGCAGAGGGGCAGTAGGCCCTGGAACACCTTCCACACCAAAGGGGATGAGAGTCAGCACCTTTCCTGTGCAAAGAGGATCCACTCATCCCCCTCTTTGCTGGTGCCAGAACCACAGTGGAACCAGTCAAACCAGCCTCTCCAATGTGCTCTCCTCTCTTTTCAGCCTTCATAGCTTATTGAATTTATTTTCAACTTACTTTAAAACTGGCTTGAATAGAATTTGGAGGCAAAGGCAATCTCTCTCTGCACCTGATTGGTAGAGCAAGTGTCAGCAAGGGAGCAGCTTCTTGTGCTCCTAAGGAGCAAGTGAAGGAGTGGACAGGACCAGTTCAGCCCATAAATTGGATGTGTGGCAATCCAGGAGGTTTCCAGTTAAGGCTGTGGCTTCTGAACTGAAGGCAATGCTGCAGGGAGTGCTACAGCAGCAGCTTTCACACAGCAGTGTCTGCCACTCTCCCAGGACTAGGACAGCTGTGAGCTCTCACCTCAGCTGATTTCCTTCCAGCAAAACAGCACCCAGACACTCACAGAGCTGGTTGTGTCCAGCACCCTGTGTAGGAACTGGGAAAGCTTTGAAAGAGAATCTGCTCTCCAGAAACTGCTCTCCAGTTTTGCATAGAGTCTCTCAGTTGCTCTTCAAGAGCCCTCAGATCCCTTGAGGGACCAGTGACAGGGACAAGCAAGGGGAGGTCAGAGCAGGAGACAGTGCTAGGGCTCTCCTCCAGTGCTGTGCTGTGAGTTGAGCCCATTTCTCTTCCCCTGCCCTTTGGGGGCTTTGTTTTGTCCTCCTCCATCACCCCCATACCTGCAGGTCCTGAAGGCTGCAATCTCTTCATCTACCATCTCCCCCAGGAGTTTGGAGACAACGAGCTGATGCAGATGTTCCTGCCCTTTGGCAATATCATCTCCTCAAAGGTGTTCATGGATCGTGCCACCAACCAGAGCAAGTGTTTTGGTGAGTGAAGGCAAGGGAAGTTGATAATAACAATGACACTCACACTGGGCATGGCACCAGCAGTGCCACTGTCACCCATCCTGTGTCCTTCCTTCAGGTTTTGTGAGCTTTGACAACCCATCCAGTGCACAGACTGCTATCCAGGCCATGAATGGCTTCCAGATTGGCATGAAACGCTTGAAGGTCCAGTTAAAACGGCCCAAGGATGCCAACCACCCCTACTGACAGCAGTGAGCAAGCAGGAGTCACTTCTGCAGCACAGGTAAACTGTCCCCAGCAGGGCACAGCTCTGCTCAGGCTCCAGTGCTCCCTGCAGAGGGGGAGGCCAGCAGTGGAGGCAGTGACACAGCTGGTGGGGCTCAGGCTTCACCTCAGCTGGGTGACCAGAGCAGGCCTGGAGGTGATGGCCAGGTTCAGCAATCAGCAGGCAAATTTGTGGCAATGGGGCAAGCCCAAAGCCAAGCCAGAGAGTCAAGATCAGGGTCAGAGTCCAGGGATTGCCAGGCAGGTCTATGTGACAATAATAAACATCGAGGTGGGAAGCCAGTGCAGGGGTTGGAGCCCAGGTAATGAGATCCATGGACAGCACAGGTCCATGGGCAGGTGGACACTGGCACTTCCACACTGTGCCAGACCAAGGCTGATGGCACAGAGCTGTGAGGAGACTCTGGAGCTGTGGGCAGTGTGGACAGACAGGTGGGGCTGGTTAAGTTCATCAAGGCCTGTGAGTGCCCTGACAGGCTGTTGGTTCCAATGGCCTGTGTGGTCTAAGCAAGGTTTTACTCTGCTGTCCAACTGCTCCCAAAAAGCTTTTGACTGCCTAAAAAAGTATTAAACCCCAGTAGTTTTCAGCTGTTATATGGGCCCTGAAGTTAGTCTGCAAACAGTGCTTTCTGGGGTGAGAAGAGGGAGAAGAGGAATTCTGTGATTCACAGGGATCACAGAAAAGCAGAGAAAAGTTGACACCCTTGATGGGCTGCTGTCCAAGAGCCAGCTCCTGCCAGCCTACAGATGGGGAGCAAGGGAGAGCTGATCTGATTTGGGTCAGAATCCTGCTGCTCAAAGCCTGAGGTTTGCACAGATGTCCTCCTAACCTCCCAATTTCCTCCCTCCTCCATTTCTGTTCAGGTGAAGGGAAAGTCCAGAGGAAGAATTTCTGCTTCAGGTTGATTTTCAGAGAGGCCAGTAAATTTATCGACTCTTTTGACACCACCCCTTTCCTTCCTCGGCTTCCCACCTTACCCACCCCATCTTCCTCCTCCCCTCCTCTCCAAGACATGCAATTAAAGAGAAGGCTCAATATCTGCCCAGGAGGAAGATTCTTGCCACGCCTGGACTCGCATATTTGCTGCTAACGTGGTGCAAAGCAAAGGGACCAGCAAACCAGCAGCCCCTGGGACACGGAGCTCTTCCTCTCGGGGTGTGGCTGGAGAACATGGACCAAGCAAACCCATGGTGTGTCTCTAGGTTACTGCAGTGATGTGTGGAAATTTACTTCCGTCCCTCCCTCCCTCCTGCTCTGTTTCTGGCCCTTTCATAGATAACTATAAATATATACAGTCTCTATTTTTTTTTTTTAAACTAGCTCACAGGACCAAACTTTTCCATTCAGAGAGTGACTGCTTGCAAGAGGTATTGGAAATTAGGGGTTTGCCTTTGCAACAGTGTCTTCTCAGCACGCACTGCAGATAGGCCTGAACATTTTGGAGAGAGGGAGCTGGGGGTGGGCTGGGGAGAGAGAGAGAGAGAGAGAGAGAGAGAGCACATCTCTCTGCTCCACACGAGCAAGAAGGAGAAATACATTCCTCCAGGATTAGGGCACAGTCAGCTGCTCAGCTTGAGTCACTCATCCACCTTAGCACCAGCCTGGTTAAGGATCCGGAGAGCTGTCTTACCTTTCCAAGGGCTTCTGCAGACAAAGCTCCTGGGATGTGGTGCCAGCCCCTACCCTGAGCACTCCGTGATTAGGCTGAAAGCACAGGAAACCAGTCCCCTTCCTTAGAGGAACTGCACTGCCTCCCCACACATGGCACAGATCCGTGTTTCACAGCTCTCCATGGCAACTGCATTTTCTTGATGAAGGCAGGAGAAGATGAGAGAGTGTGAGCAGATGCAATCTCCAGCACAGCTAGAGAAGGCTCCCAGGGGCTGCACACTGCCTCCCTGTGTCGGATACCAGCACTGGGGAGTGGGCAGTTCTCCTTCCAGATGACACAGGACGTTTTCTCCCTCTGAATTCAGCAGGAGGACTCTCCTCATGCACCCGCTGCAAAGCTTTCCCCAGCAGATGCAAGGAAAATAGGATGAAAGAGGGTTCCATTCTGGGATTTTCCCCCCAGCATCCCCTCCAAGAGACAGATTATACATTATGCAGCATATACATATATATATACACACATATATATATGTAGGGACAGCTCTATACACTATATACACAAACTATAAAGCACAGAATGTAGTTCAGAACTGGATTTTAAAAAGATCCCCTGGGAGTGGGGGGTGTGTGTCATCCTGACAAGGCACATCCCTTGAACAGTTTGGAACAGTCTCTTCAAGTTTCTACAAAAGTAAGGAAAGGAAAGGAAAGCAAGGCAGAACAGACCAACAAACCCCAGAGTGATTAGGAATGAACGATTTCAATATTCAGAGTTTGATAAGGTACCACAAACGTGTGTGTGAGGGTGTGTGAGCACATTGAAATAGGGACAAGAGAGTTGGTGGGGTAAAGTTGGTGCAATTGATACTGAAATGAGCTATGGGGATTTTGGAGAATCTCAGCCAACTCTCATTCTCCTCCAGTTTGCCCTTTGTTCAGGTGTTTGTGGCACAGTCCTTTAAGTACCTTCAGATCTCCTCAACCACCCTTCTGTGTCTGATGCTGAGAGTTTATGAGAGGTGAATGAAGCTGTGAGAGTCTGTGTGTTTCTATAGTCCATGTTTACTTATTGTAAATACCATTTTTATACTTAACATCTATTATGTATGTGATTTGTATAATGTACTTTATTTCTGCTACAAGTAATTTCATGAAGTTTAAACTTAGTCTAATTTTGAACAAAACAAAAAAAAAAAAAGAAAAAATATGAACAAATGCAAAATGGGAAAAAAAAGGACTTTGGGAATCCTAGGTCAAGCTGGTTTAAAACAAGCATTTACAGTTTCTTCCATCACAGTTACTGATGTGACTGTACAATGTTACAGGTGCGATACAAGCTTTGTCAATGTCAAATTCCTCACTCTGGTCAAAAAAAATCCTAAATTTATTTAATAAAAGTTTTACTTGCTAAGTACCTGGGGCTTTACTTCCTGTTGTTAGTTGCACCTGCTTTTAGGTAATGCTTACACTTGAAGACATTGCCAAAGCCCTGGGCTAATTTAACCGGTCACACAGGGTCAGCAAACAGGCCTTGGCCCACAGAATCCAGGGGACCAGTATTTCTTCACAGGGGAAGCATCAACTCATAACACTAACACATTAAAAACTTGTTTAATTAAAATAGAGATAAAAATTCTACTTAGAGGAAGCAAGAGGGTTCATGGGATCCAAAAGTAGTGGAGGAAGGATGTCCCAGGAATGTACAGCCATTCCAGGACATCCTGTGCAGACAGACGGGGGTTAAAGCTGGGGCTGAGCAAAGGCTGGATGCTGTCAAAGTGAGGTGAGGCTGAAGGAGGAGGGGAGATGGGAGGAGGGCTAAGGCAGAGTGAAAGTGGGAAAGATCTCTGACTGATGGGTAACAGCAGCAGAACCATGGCTGAAGCACGATGACAGACCATGAGTCATGTTAGGAAAATGGGACTTTGCCACCACTGCTGCCCTGCTTCACAGCAGTGGTTGAGTGGGATGCTTAGTGGGATGGCAGGAATGTGATTAGAAGGGCTATAGGATGAGACTGGGCATCCCTCAGGGACTGCTGTAGTTATAGAAAGTCCGTAGCACCTGGTTCCCGCTGCTGGGGACCAGAGCCCAGAGGCAGCAGAGCTGCTGCAGCCACCGCGGGTAGAAAATCTCGTGTGCCCGAGCGGCTCCGCCCCGGACGATGGCGAGCGCGGCCTCGGGAGCGGGGCAGGCACTGAGGTGCACTTTGCCCCTGCAAGGCAACGGCGCAGGGTCACTCAGAGCCGGGCAGCCCCTGCTGGGGTTCGAGCTGGGCACGCTGATCCCACAGGGCTCCATAACGAACAACCCCTGTGGTGTGCCCAGGCAGCTGCACTCTCCCCAGGCAGATGCACACACCCTCTTAGAGTTGCTGTGCATTTTTTTGCACGTTTTCAAGAAGAGATGTGTTCCTGCACACAAACTCATACCTGGTGTACTCCAGTGCTGACTCAGTATCAATCAGGCCCAGGATGCACAGTGTGACTGACACATCTCTCTTCTGCATGATGAGCTCGTGGCGCAGGGAGCTGAAGAATCCCTCCAGTGCAAACTTGGTGGCAGAGTAAGAAGTGGTGAAGGGAGTGGGCATTTTCCCTGGAAAGGGAAAAGAGAGAATGGAAAACCCCAGGAAACTGGGTGTAAGGAGGATCCATGGAGAGAAGATGCAGGCTTTGTCATACTGTATCAACTCATGTTCTGTAATGTGAGTCTCCCTTTATGTAAGTATATTAGAACACAGATTACTATATTATTATGTATTTATTATTATTATTATATACTGTGAAAAGCACAGTTTGAAAATATATTTAGGAGTTGAATAACAGAAATATAAACAGTATATATGAACAGTACTGGGAATCATTGTTTCCAGAAGGCCAGCACTTACTCCAGGTAAAGTCACCAACCTGTGAGGGAAGAAACAACCACCAGAACACCTCTGTTCTTCTCCAGGGTGGGAAGAGCTGCTGTTGCAAGAGCCACATAACTCAAAAAATTCACCTGGAATGATAAATGTAGACATGGAAGAAGCAAGAGGGTTTGGAAGCATGAGCCAAGAAAGTCAGTAGAGTGGTCAGAAATGGAAAGGAGCATGGTTTGGAATTGCCTTTTCAAACATAAAGTGAGAGAAATCATCTGTAAAGATGGGGACAAACATTGCATCCATCAGTCTTTCAGATTCCAGAAAAGGCAGTTAAGAAGATTCAGAGCAAAGGTTATTCCTGGGCTTTAACATTCACATTTCCTGACAAGAATACAATTAGTTGTCCCTGCTTTTTCTTTATGCTTTTCTTTATTCTGCAATCCCTACCAAAGACTCCAGAGTCTGTTTGCTCCCCTTCTAAGTTTCTCTTGACTCCGCTCAGACTACAATGAGGCACAAAATTCAGCATCTCTTCAGAGTCTGACTGCTCTCTTAAATTATATTAATGTCTTACCTAAGTCCCCACTGTCCAGCAAAAAGCCTCCTTCCAAAATGAAATAGAAACTAGTATGACCCACCTGAATGAAAAAGACTGAATCAAGAAAACAGCTCTTCGTTTCCATGGCCCCAAAGCCTGGCACCAGGGTGATTCTACAGGAAAACTCTAAATCTGTGAACAGAAACTCAAATGGCAGACACCATTTCAAACAACTTTGTGTTCTGCATTTGTGCACATGCCATAGACCAGTAGGAAGTGCTGGCTGCTCACTTAGAGACCTTCCTGAACTAAACACAACTGCCTGGAACTGCCCATCAATCCTAAACTCCTGGGCTAAAGGGAAGTAAGAAGGACAGAAGGAAGAAGTCTGAAATTCTTCCCAAACATTCCTCTTCACAAATGTACAACATCTGAGCAAAACACCTCTCTAGCAACAAAGCCTCCAAACAGGAATGAAGTAAAAGGATTGTTCTCAACCCCTGCCACAGACATGGATTTGCCTTGGAGCTTGTAAAGCTGTCCCAGGAGAAGCCAGGCTCAGCTCCAGGGGAGCTGGGAAGCCTCACCTGCATGAGCCAGCGGGTGTATTCCACATCTCCAGCCCACTCCTGGAAGCGGTTGGTGCCGATGTGGTTCAACACGAGGTAATCCAGGCCCCCTCGCAGAGCAGAAAAAGCAGTCACACAAGGGGCCCATCCCTGACCATCAACCAGCAAGCTCAGAAATGCCAGGAGGGCTCAACCACTCCCTCAGAAGGCTGGGAAGTGCTTTAACCATGGAAACAGATTAAATATGCCCATCTGGGAGCAGCTTTGACTGCTCCTCAGGAGTAGAACTGAAAGGAAAACTGTTTGACTTTGACAATAACTCCCTGAAATGATGTTTCAGCATGATTCAGGATCAGAACTTAGCTCTGGTGGTACATCTATGTCCTTAACACCTTTCTCCATTCAGGGAACTGAAGCAGGAAGCTCCTACTAGAATGAGAACAGTGCACACACCTGAAAGCCAAAGAGATGCTCAGGACGCTTACCCAGCTTTTGGACAGCAAACTGAACCACCTTTTCAGGCTCTGAAGGAGAAGACATATCTGCAGGGATATAAAATATCTTCTTTGCTCCAAGCGTCAGGCATTTCTCCATCACCTTGAAAAAGAACACACCCCAAAGATTAAACTATTTGAAAAAAGATTAGGGGGAAAGGGCACTATAAAGCACATACTACAGTCAGTGAGAGTCAGTTCTGGACGGAGATACACTTTAATTTAAAATTTACTGCTGTTTGGGCCATGGAGAGCTCATTCTGCATCCAGACTTTGAATCTGCATCCTGCAAAGAGTTACCTCTATTTAACTGTCTGCTTAAACGATCTACTTTGGGACAGGATCAAGATTCACTGGAAAAAAAACCAGTCTTCTTCAGGGGAAATCTTCTGGAACAAGGGTTATGCTTTACATTAAGTTCTTCTCTTTTTTTCCAAAATAACTGGAAAAGAATTCATCTTTCATAATTCCTTTGCTATGTTGAGTGTGTGAATGTGCCTGGTAATGATATGCAGTTTTAGCTATTTGCTGAAATAATGCCTTCCAGTCATTAGGAGCTATTATTATGCTCACTGTCCCCAACTCACCTTTTGCACCATTTCACAGTGAAAAACTTTCCTTGGAAGTCACACATGTCCACAATTAGAGTTACCCTTTCTAAATATTGTCCCATTTCATAAAGTTGAAGAAGTCTCAACTGTTGGAGCTGGTCGAAAAGCATTTACAAAAAGTCTTGAGTTTTTAACAAAACAGCTACAAATAGAACAATTTGGACTCTGAAAATCTTCACAATGTTGCACAGGAATTGTAGTTCATGGAGTATCTCAAATTGAAGAGGACCCATAAGGATCACCAAATCCAAATCCCTGTTCCTCACAGGACTCCCTGAAACCAAACCATATCATTAAGGATGTGGCCCAGATATTCCTTGAGCTCTGATAGGCTTGGTGCCATGACCACTGCTCCCTGGGGAACTTACTCCAGGGACTGATCACCCTCACAGTGGAGAACACTTTCCTAATGTCCAGCCTGAACTTTCCCTGATGCAGCTTCACACCATCCCCTCGTATAAATAAATGTTCAGGCAGTTAAAAGCTCAGGCATTGTATTTGCATCTTCTTCTTCTCTTCTGGGTTTATGCTGAACATTTCCAAAGGAAAATCTATCATGCTGACAACTAATTTTTTTGTTGGTTTGGTAAAAGCCTGAATCTCTCATGTCTTCCCCCATACAAGGAGGAGGCTCTTACTTTCTGCAGCACAGCTTCCCTTCTGGCAGTCAACACAATTTCAGCACCAAATCTGGCACAGTGATATGCTATCTGCTCTCCAATCCCAGCACTGGCTCCAGTCACAAGAACACGGGCACCAGACAGGCTCTCTTTTTTATGGGAAAGAGAACAAAAGACACAGAAGTAAGTGAAGAAAGCAGCAGAGGAGCTGCCCTTAACTACTGGCAGAGCTTTAAAAAAGAAAGATTCACCTAAGTGCTCAAAATTCCTGGTGCTTCTCCAAAACTAGAAGAGGCAGGACTGGTGATGCAATGACATGATGATGGCAGCTAGCTGTGTCACAGGGCCTAGCCTGGGTTGCTAGACCAAAATCTTTCAAGAACTAAGTTGTTTTTCACCTTCTGAGAAGCTGTACAGAAAGCAGAAACCGGGCTATGTGCCTTCTGCATATCATTTACTCCTTGCCATCAGTCTGGAGATGTATCAGCCCTCTTGTGCCAGGCACTGCACACCTACAGAGATGGTTCTTGACACCAAGGAATTTACAACCAAAACATAGAAAGAGCAAGGTAGTAGCAAAGTGTCGTTTTTTCCCCCACAAAGACAGCAGGATCCCTGCTCTTAGACCATTTCATCTTCCTCTTTGTTTCAAGTTTCTCTTTGTTTCTGGGAATGAAACATTGCTTTGGGGCCACCAACTCTAGTAAGACTATGGGCAGGAATGAGACCATCAGTCAAAGTTTGGAAATTCAACATCTTCCCTTGTGTGACTTATATTTCAGCTTGAAATCATCCCCCTGGTGAGCCTACCTGGGTTAAAGTCATCTTTCCAGAAGAAAGCTATGAGCCCAGCTACAACCCCTGTAGCACAAAGCACTTTTCCAACTGGCTTCATATCCCTCCAAGCTGTAACGAAAAAAGTGAAGTCTTGAAGCTGAGCACTTCAGCCAAAATTATACCGTGTTCTCCTTTCTCTGATGCCTGGAGCCAGCCTGGGAGTGGCACGTCAAGGCTTTTGTAGAACAGAGAGCCCACCTGAGGGGCCTCTCCCCCGGGAGCCACATCCACCTTGGTCATGAATAAAAAGGATCTTTCACCGGCAATTCCCACAGCGCTCTGCACTCAGAGCCTACAGAAGAAATCTTAGAGAACTCTAAATTCATTAAAGACTAATGACAGCTGGCAGCAGTGACCCCAAAGCAGCCGGATCTCGGCAGGGAGGCGGCGGCAGAGCCCACAGGACGGAGCCTTGTCTGGATAAGAGCAGCAGGATGAGCTGCTCCGCCACCACGCTGCGACACAGCGCGACAAAACGAGCGGCGGGGACAGCGCCACAAAGGCGCAGGAGCCGCGCTCGGCCCCCTCACACCCTCAGCCGGCCCGGCCCGGCCCCCTCACGTCCCTCAAGTCCTGCCCGGCCCCCTCACACCCTCAGCCCTGCCCGTCCCTCTCAAGCCTCTCAAGTCCTGCCCGGTCCCCTCACATCCCTCATGCCTGTAAGTCCTGCCCGGTCCCCTCACATCCCTCACACCCTCAGCCCTGCCCGTCCCTCTCAAGCCTCTCAAGTCCTGCCCGGTCCCCTCACATCCCTCATACCCTCAAGCGCTGCCCGGCCCTGCTCATCCCTGCCCTGCCCGTCCCTCTCACACCCCTCACGCCCCTCAAGCCCTGCCCGATCCCCTCACGCCCTCAGCCCTGCCCGGCCCCTCACACCCCTCCAACCCCTCAAGCCCTGCCCGGCCCCCTCACGCCCCTCACGCCGGCGGGGCGGGCGGGGCCGCGCGCGCACGTGACGGTCCCGGCCCCGCCGCCGCCATGGCCGCCCGCCTGCTGCCCGCTGTCAAGTGAGTCCCGCGGGCCCTGCCCGCCCTCCCAGCCCGGCCCGGCCCGGCCCGGCCCTCCCGCACCCTCCGCACGGCGTTTCCCCCCGTACTCCCCACCCGGCCCTCAGTGCTCGCCGCTGTCCCCGGCCCGTCCCCAGGCCCGCGGCCGGCCCTGTCCCTCGGCTGTGCTCGCCTCGCTCCGCGCCCTTGGCCTCGCCCGCCCCCGCAGCTCCCCGTGTGTCTGCACTCGCCGGGAGGGCCCTGCCGCTGTCTGCGGACATGGACACGTAACATAAGGCTGGGAGTAGCGCGGGGCTCGGAGCCGTGGGTACACCCACGGCGAGGCGGTGCGGAAGGGTATCCTTGGGGGCCAGCAGTGCGTTTCAGCAGAGAAATCACTTTTCCCCGAAATGCGTGTGAATACACGACTTTAAAAATTGGTTCTCTCTTCTCAGCCGTCTTGTATCTGTCCTATGTCCTACTACTGCAGTACCACTGTCTGCCAAATTTTGGGTTGTCCCCTTGTTTTGCTGTTTTTTAAAGGGAAAACATCTCTGCTGTGTGAGTCTGGGGAAGTCGGTCACCTCAGACCTCTCTTTTGTAATAGAAATGCCAATAAATGCCAAATATTCCCTTCCCTTTCGTAGGTTGCCATCACAGCTGTAAAAGTGGTGACTGCACATCATGCAGGGAAACTTTAAAAGCCTTGGCAATGCAAGCACCATGGCCAGGTGTTCACTGGGCTGTAATGAGCTTAACAAGATATTGGTGGCTGTCAGATTTATTAGATAAATATCAGATTTATCAGGAAGAACCACATCATTAACATGGATGGTTTGCCCTCTGCAGAATTCTTTAGTTGCTTTTAGCAGAGGAATATGCCAGTGATTCTCAGGCTTTAAAAAGTGGCATGTGCTCTCGAGGAATTTGACACTTTCTCATTTTTATATTGAAAACCATCACTGATAAAATATGAATTAGGAGTAGTTTCAAGGGGCTGACAGGAAATAGTTGTCCTGGGAATGCAAGGAACATAGGAAGGTATTTTTCTGCTGATTTCTACCTACAATAAGACATGAGGTTTCTTTACTGATACCCTCTTGGCAGTCACAACCACTGAGAGAGATGCACTGATGGTCAGAACAAGAACTGAACTGTTGTGCTTCAATTCTTTCAGGTTTCTGGTCAAAGGAGGCCTGGCTGGAGCTGCTGTGTACGTGGCATATGACCAGGGGCTGCTGGGCAGTGGCATAGAAGGTGCTGAAGCACTCAAAAAAGCTCAAGAAACGCTGCCTCCAGCTATCCAAGAGTGGACAGATTACCTGGGCTGGGAGGTAAGGGCTGCTCAGGTGATCCCTGCAACACAAACAGCTCCTCTGAATCAGGAAGAGAAAATAGGGGGGTGATATTCTGATTCCAGTGAGGCTGGCAGGAGTTTTACTGTTGAAACTGGATTTCACATGGCAAATATTTTGAAGAGGATTGAAATGGAAGGCAAATAAAATGCTAAATTTGGGGCAGAGACATTGCTCACAGATGTTATTTCAAAGGAGAGGGGTAAGCAGCCTATGCAGGGTCAAGGGGGGGCTGCAAACATGCTCTGGGAGGTATTTCACTCTGTAGTTTTCTTCTGAAGGATCCTGCTTGTTTTTAAGAAAAACAATGAAAATATTATCCTCCCAATTTTTCACAGTTCAAATTGAATTTAAATTGCTTGAAGAGGCCCCTCCTCTATGAGTAGTTCTTAGTTTTTAAAATCCTCAGAAAATAAGAGACCTTTGCTTAAAGGTTGAGAAGAGTTTTCATATCACAAACAATTACAAACTAACAGAGACAGCCATGGAGATGCTTTTTCAGGAGCACATGAATAATATGTTCTACCTTTTGCACCTACTTTGTATTGCAGGAAAGAGCAAAGCCCAGACTTTAAGCATCATGTCTGGTCTCTTTTGAGGCTTATGGAGAGTAGGCACCTAAGTATTTTTGAGATTTGAGGTCAAGAGGCTTTGCCAAGGTGATGTGAATTCGAAGTGAAACCCTTCGAGTGCTGATATTTTGTCTCTCTCTTTCTTTCTAGCTCCCATCCACTCCAAAAATTGACTTTTCCTTCTCTGCTTCCTGGAATAAAGGTAAAATAACTCCTCACTAACTGAGTCTGAGCTAAGTTTTTGGCTTTTCAGAAGGGGTGAGCATTCCCTTTGTTATTAGAAATTTAGACATTTTTGTTTGAAGGCCAAAGCATGTTATAAATACCTAGTAATATATAGGTTTTATGGTGCAGCAAAGAGTCTTCATGTAATTGTGGGGAAACACAATCCACAGATAACTGTGACATGTCCAGCATCACCCATGGAGTCTGTGGCAAGGCCAGAAATAAAACAGGACTTAAACAAAGAACTGAGCTCAGTCCTGTAACTGTCTTAGCTCATGTACAGACCCTGAAGTTGTTATTTCTGTCACAAATGCTCAGGGCTTAGAGAGATCTGCAATGGTGGTGTTGGAAATTGGGAAATTTGGCTTGAATGATGATCTTGGGGTAATTCTTCTCTGCTTTCCTTGCAGGAGTGCACACAGTCATGTCTGCCTTGTCTGTAGCTCCCACCAGGGCCTGTGAGTACACAGTGGAAGGCTGGAAATATGTGAAGGATCTTGTGAAATGAACACGTTCTCCAGGGTTCAGGATTCTCTCAGACCCCTCTGGAGGGCAGCTCAGCCATGTAAGGGCTACAATAAAGGACTTTGGCGGAACTTCCATTTGTATTTGGGTTGGTTTTAGCCTGCAGAGTGGAATAATTGCTTTGTCTTAGCACTGATCCAAGGCTCCAGGAATCACAGATAGTTGTGATGAAGTGATGGCCATGTGCTGAGAACAGCTTCTGTTCTAAAGCTTGGAAAATAAAATAATTATTCTGAAACTGAATTAATCTTGAAGGTGAATGCCATCTAGTTCAAACCAAGCCAACAAGAGTTCAAAAAAAATTTAAAAATCCAAGGTAACAGTAAAAGATGCTGTAAAAGACGGCCTAGGAGGATTACACAAGCACAGGGGAGAGTAACTGAGCAAAGTTTATCTGCATCAAACCTTTTGTTAGCTTGCACCATACCCCAGTTGGCAGACTGTGCACATTTTCATTTTAGTGTGGATGAAAACTTTCACAAGGTCACTTTTCAGTCACAGCCCAGGCAAATGTAAGGAGCACCGGTGGCCTGGAGGGCACCACTTGTAAAATAAAGTTACAAATTGATTCTGTGTTTTTAAACCTCTTTGATAGGATTGCTGTAATTACAGAATGTGCCAAAACACAGCTGCAGAACAGGGAACAGCAGGATGAGTCCTTACTCAAGTCAGGAAGCAAATACAATACATGAGGATGAAGAAGGATTTGCAGTTTTGTTTCCTTTTTTAACAAATAGGTACATGATGAAGGCAACTGCCCAGAGATTTCAGAGGATTTGGCTAAGATGCAAATGGCTTTAAAAAGCCCTTAAGTTAATTCCTGAAGGATGGGTCCATCAGCAGCTCTTAAACCTCATGGTCCAGATGGAAGCTTCAAGCTCAGTAAACCCTGGAGTTGTGTCCTGCAGGTGCCAGATGCTTCACAGCACCCCAGAACCCAAATAACCTCTGTTGATGCACCATTTCTTCTCTAACTTTCCAATGTCCACTGCTCTTGAAGCAGCACAACTTTGCTTCTAGGTGTACTCCCCCTTCTCACCGGGCCAAACCTCCCACTTAGGAAATCCTGACATTCATCTAGAGTCTTCCTCTCTCTGGCTTTGCTACGAACCAAATGGAACCATTCTGAGCAAAGCACACCGTGTACAAACAGAATACTGCACCTCTGCCATGCTCAGAACTTGAGTTCTCCATGCTGTTCAGAATCTTCTGAACCACTTCTTTGCCCTTTGATGATTGCTCTCCAAACTTTATCATTGTAATATGCTTTCTCCATTGATGAATGAAAAAATATCTTCATGCCACTCATGAAAAACCCCTTCTCTAAAGATGGAAAATCCCCAGTGACCCTACAAATGAAAGTAATAGGTTTTTTCCTCTTGGCATCAGAAAACCCATTTTAGGGTAAGGCTAAGGTCATGTTCCTCCAGAGATGTCTGCACAAAGACAAATAACTTGGATATGACAAAAAACCAGATCATTTGCACCTATCTCAATCATGTCAGTTCCTCAACACAAAATTATGCCAAAGCACAGCCAGTGGCTGCTTCTAAGGAAATTATGGACTGCTAGGTAAAATTACTGGGCTGTAAGACTGGTGGTTTTGGACTACTCTGATCTATCAGTAGCTAAATAAAGTGATCCTGACAAGCACCTCTGTGCTGTCTCTTACAGAAGCTCTGCTGCTATCACAGAATTTAACTCCTTTTTCAGACATTATATTGCACATGACACCAGTGAAAAGAATTCTTCACCACTTGCCCTACAGTCTCCTGTGGCAATTTTGCAGTGGCAGGGCATTCAGACTTTGGCAGCTGTGATCCACAAACGTTCTCTCATGGTGGCACATGGGCCATGGTTACACAGGTGGGTAACTGACAGCTGTGAGGGAAAACACAGTATTTCACTATTTCTCAGAGTGCAAAGGGACACCTGTAAGGCATTTTGACACTTCATCTTTGAAACAAGAAATCTGTTTGACAGGGACTGCTGAAACAAAGCAAGTAACTGTAAACTGGCGTTTATTTATGGAAAATGGAATGCTTCATTAACAAACATTTTTAAATGGGATATGAACAACACCTTACAAAACAAATGAGTTCACATTGGATTGAGTGACATAATATGGCAGCAGCTTAAAAAAAATTACACTTACAGTAGCCCATAAGTTACAATTAATGGTAACCCTGGGTAACAGATTTGATTCACTTGCCACCTTGCATTAAAAACCAAACACAATCAGTAGCGACGGTTGAAACGAGGATCGTTCGGTCTGTTTGCCCTTTCCTGGCCAGCAAATCCTTCTCCTTGCATTCCTCCTCCGTGCATGATCTGACTCTGATTGCCCCCCTGCATGAAACTGCCACGCCTGGAAAGAGATTCAGACATTTTAATATTCTCTCATGCTGGTACACTCAGGTTGCTAGAATGGGTGTTCTTTTTGTTTTTACTCTTCCATAAAATGTACTACATAAAAACCATGGGGATATTTAATTATTCCTTGATATTTAAGTAACAAATTAGATAACTGATACTCCCATAAAATGTTTCTTTTGCCAGTTTAAATAGAAGAAATGTCCCTTAAAAGGAAAACACTTTGCTCCTTTTAAAGTTCTTACCCTGACATGCCTCCACGATGCATCACATGGCCAGGTCTGCCTCTACCGCCACCTGAAAAAGTTCAAACAGTCCCTTTATATCCACAGCAAGAGTTTGATTTCAAGGATAATGTCTGTATTTTCTTCACACAGCACAGCTAAGGAGCTGTGCAAGAACCATACCTTGCCATCTCTCATGATCCCTTCCTATCATCCCTCCGTCCACGCTGCTCTGCCAGGAACGATCTTGGTGCCCTTCGAACTTCCGACTGTGATCTCCCCAGTCACGTCCATCCCTGTGAAGAAATGAAATTCCCATCTTCTCACACAAGCCATAGCATGTGGAATAGTTTTTATATTTGAATCTAAGTCACAAACTTACTCAAATATCTTACCAAGGCTCATGTGAATCTTATAATATTTACATTGCTATCTGTTAACTAAAATCTCAGAAGAATTTTTCTGCTCAAATCAACTAAGATGATGAATAAATAAGATATTGGGGGAGAACTACTATCCTGAAAATAGCAAGCTTTGATAGGAATGTTAGTTACAATTAATGGAAAGCATTGACTTTTAAGATGTGAAGTTATTAAAAAAAAACAGGTGAGTGCATGTTTTGATGCACAAGGCATCAAATCGTCTGCAGTCCATCCAACACACCTTTGGTGAAAGCTGGAAAAAAAGAACACCTTCCAAAAACTTTGACATATGGAAACATTCCTTAGGAGCAGAAGAGGTGTTTTCAGTACTAACCGTGACTGTGGGGGGATCCCTCTGCTCTCACTCATCCTCCTGTCGGAGCCGTAGCTTCCCCAGCTCTCCCGCGAGTCCCGCGAGTGCCGGTCGGGGCCTCCGTGGCGCTCGTCTGGGTAGTGCTGGAAGGCACAGAGCTCTTACACACTGCTCACAGCTCTAACTGCTCCATCTCACAATCATCTGGGAGGGAAAGGGACCTCCTGACATCTGCTCAGGGTCAGCCAGCTCCAGGCTTTCCCAGTGGGTTTTGAGGATCTTCCCAGCTAGAGACTGCACAGGCTCTCCATGCAACCTGTTCCCAGTGTTCCCAGTTAAAGGGGATTTGAATCCTCTCCAGATGGAACTGTGTTCCAGTTTGTGCTCACTGACTCTTGTCTTTTCAGACAACCACTGAGTGGCAGCTCAACCTTCAGGATATTCCCACCAGCCCAACTCTCCAGCCTATCCAGGTCCCTCCAAACCTCACAGTAAAGGCCACTGAGGATTCTATGACTCCATAAAATTCATCTGTCACTGCTTGAGTGAGTCCTGAAAGTCTTACCCCCAGCCCTCAAACACAAATATCTCTACAGTTCAGCTGTTATTACCATGTAACCTCAGAGAGTGAATTTGTACCTTTGCCTCTTCTATGCAATCTTTTGGAATACTGTATTTTGACACAACTCACTTGCTTTGTCTTCTATCAGAATAACTATATCTAACTTTTGTAATAAACAAGTCTTTGAATTTATTTTCATCTTATTGAAGTAAACAAGACAATCTGATTATTCCAGAATATTTTAGTAGATATAATGTAATTCTCAACTACTGAAATGTAATCTGACACACACACTACAGAAAACGAGGTTATAAGATGTAAAGATATTTCTGTAGCTCTATAAAGCAACTCACTTGTCCATCCCGATCTCCCATAATTGTTCTGGATCCATCTCTCCTAGAAACAGACAATTAGAATCAGACTGTGATAGTAAAACACACAGCAGTCTATAAAAATCCATTTATTTAACAACACAGATGAAAAACCCTGCTCCCACATCATGCCACGTTATCCACAAAAGGCATAAACAGCTGGAACACACAGTTAGTCCTAACATATAAATCAAAATATTCTTGTTAAAATTCTAGGCGCCTACAATATTATTTATAAGTTTTTCAGAATCCTACAAATACGTGAAACAGTGCTGCAAAAAACACTGACCAAGACTGCCAGAAGCTTTAACTCATGGCACAGTATAGATCTTTTCGATGTTTTAGAAGAGAAATTCCACAGCCACTAAGTGGCACTTGAAAAATATGAAGTACGTATTTCTGTCTTTTGTCTCAGGCAGCAGTGGAGGTAAGACACCAACCTGTCTATTGAATGCTCCTGGTAACGCCCACGATCCCTGTGATCGAAGTCATGGAAACGATCCTGGCGACTGAAGTCTGAGTGGTACCTGTCATTCATGGCCATTCGTTTTGCCTCTGGCCAGTATGGATCATCCCTCCTGAAAGAAAGAACAGACTCATTTCAGCCCAGATAACGAATGCCTGTGGTCGCATTTCTCTTCACAGAGAAAAGCAAGGCACAACTTCCCAAGCATGTCTTCTGGGAATCGCAGCGGGGAACCTCAGAGAAAGAAAACACAATTCTTTATCTCAATTGCTGCTCCTCTAGTTGTGCACAAGTGGAATGCATTGTGGAAGACTGTTTACCTGAAGGAAACTGGTAACTGGATTCTGGTGTGAGTGTTTTGATTCATTGACCAACTGAATCCACGTGTGTGTGTCGGGACTGTCGGCTGACAGTCATGAGATTCAGGGCAGTAGAGTGGAGTGCTTGTGCAGATTCAGTTCCGATGTAGTGCAATACAGTATAGAATAATATAGTATAATAAAGAAATTAATTAGCCTTCTGATATCAATGGTGTCAGAAGTGTCATTTCTCCCTGCAACAGGGGTCGCTTTGATATTCAATAAACGCCTTTTAGATATTGTTCCTCTTTCCAAACCAAAAGAAGGGAAATTAAATTCAAAAGGGCATTGAAAAACCTGAGCTATTCAACACAGCCATCTCAATGCAACCAGCAACTGCTGAGAGCACATGTGTGAATGCCATAGGACAGAGAGAGAACAGCAAGTGTTTCTCAGTGGCTTGTGAGAAATTTTAGGGAGTTGGAAAGATGTGATAACTTGTTAAGTATAAACAATTTGCAGGTGGTGTTTTTCTACTTTGTTTTCCTGTTCTTTTCAAGGACAGTATGTGAAGATGTTTTTGCTAGTTAGCCAATCAAAACCTATCGTATCACTCTATAAAAACCGTGCAGTTCTCTTGAATAAAACCTTCTTTACCTTTTCTACAATCCTGCCTCTCGCCTGTTCCTGTGTCATTCTCGGCACAAGAGCGACACACATGTATGGCTTTTTCCAGTCCAGGCAGATGAGACAGAACCTGGCAGTGACATTTCCCACTGGCACCATCAGGATTTGGTGGCTTTACCTGCCATCTATGTCATAGGGTCTCCTCATGGCAGAGCGCCGCTCCTGCTCGTAGCGCAGCTGCTCGTGCTGGCGCCGCAGCTCCTCCCTCTCGCGCTGGATCCGGTCCTGCTCCCTCCTCCTCTCGTGCTCGATGTGCATCCGTTCCCTTTCCAGCCTCTCCCTCTCCATCCGTTCCCGTTCCAGGCGCTGCCTTTCGATTTCCAGCCTCTCCCGAGCGATCTCCAGCCTCTCCCTCTCCTCCCGCTCGCGGATGGTCTGGAGGTGCTGCTGCCGCTCCCGGCGCTCGCGGGTGCTGTTTGAGCAGAGACAGAAGTGACATGGGCAATGCTTCAACAAAGAAAGGAAGTCAAAAGAGTGCTAAAAATTAAAACCACAGTGGCTGCAAACTTGCATCATCCCCTTGAAATTAACACGTGTGGAGGGAAGACACTCAGTGGACACAAATTTATTTAATGACTGATCAAATGACTCCCACAAAACCCATCCCCGGGGGGAAATACTTCTATATGGTCAGGAGAATTTCAATCCAAATGCCCACAAATACTGCTGTATGGTCAGGAGAATTTCAATCCAAATGCCCACAAATACTGCTGTATGGTCAGGAGAATCTGAATCCAAATGCCCACAGCTCATTTCTTATACTGAAATAAAGTATCTGTGAAGAATATTTTATTTCTGTGAAGAAAGGCAGGATGGTATGGTGGATAATGACTCCATTAAAACTCAGGAATTTAATTAGGAGGGAGAAACTTTTTCCTCTTCAATAAAAATAGCAAAAACCTTTTCCTCCTGTTCAATCTGACTACTTTTAGGTGAGAAATAGAAGTTTTGTAATGCGTGGAGAACATGGAATCCAGGTCACAATTCTAGCAAGGAATTTGAAGGATGGCAATTATCATCTTTAAACATTATGAAACCTATTAAACATATGAAAACAAAGAAAAAGCCCCATCAAAAATAATTAAATACCTAAATTAGTCCCTAAGTGGGGAAAAAAACCTGAAGGCCTTTTCTCTCTCTGTTTTATTTTATTAGAAATGGAAATTGTATCTATTTTAGGGAAAAAGCCCCAAACGATGTCAGTGCTGCTCTTACCGGCGCTGCTCTGCCTCCCTCATTTTTCTCTGTGCTTTGATTTTGTCAAAGGGGACAATCCCTTGTCTCTCTCTGCTCTCTGATTTGCGGTCCTGGCTCTTAACGCTCTGTATTTAAAAGAGAAACTTTAATTTATTAAATAACAACCATCACAAACAGTACTCTGAGCTCTGCTTCCATTTGTACAGTTCACATCTCAAAGCTTGGTCCCTGCTTTTTACTAAAAGCTGCTCTGTTTTACCATTACAGACACCATATATTAATACAGTGATACCCTGTCCCATTTGTTTGGCAGGATTTGAGTGCTGCATCAAGCAAATGAGAGCTATTTTACTAATTAAAAAAACCATGTTATAGAAACTCTAATTGGACAAACTGGCAAGACAAGTGTGGGTTACACACACAGAGCCTGGCAGGATTCAGGATCTGTTTCTAAGGAAAATGTTTCCCATGCAGAAGCATCACTTACTCTGTCCTTTGATGTAGTGGATGTTTTCACACTAATAACAGGTTCTCCTTTGGATTTATCCATGACTACTGTTCTCTCTGTTCCTTTGCTTCCTAAATAAATCAGAAGTGGAAAGAAACAATCAAACTACATGACCTACATCACTCATCGCTACATCATGTTCTCTAAAATGTGAAAATGGGCATTTAACCCTCTCTTCAAAATCAATTGTTTCACTCCACCTAATCCAGGCACGACTTTTAAGAATTGCACAATGTTAAACATCTCCCTTTCCCCTTATTCATTCTGGATTTCCAACTAAGAATCTGAAACAATCCTAGTATCTTTGGAAAGAATTAAATATTCCTACATCAATGTATCTGTAGAAAAAACCAACCTGATTTAATAGTTTTAGGCTGATCTGATGAACCAGACTTCTGGTCATCTTTATCTTTTTTTTCCTTTTCATCTTTATCTTCCGTCTTTTTAGGATCATCTTTTTGGTCAGATTTCTCATCCCTTTTAGCACCACCAGGTCTGTGGATAGATATTGATACAGATTAGACCAATACAGACTAAGAGAAAAAAAAATTCAAGGGAAATGCCAGCAACAAAGTAGAACTCTGATGTGATAACAATCATAATTAGGTTTCCAAACATTTCCTTCCACAACTTCCTGCGCCATAAAACAAGACATTGAGACCATCCTGTGCAGTGGTCAACAAACTTGGCCAGGATTCAGGATCTCAGCTGGAAGCATGAAGACAAATTCACACCACCATGTGCTTAATGCCCACAGAGTTTCTTACACAACATGACAATGAACCATTTTTGTCAGGCAACTGGGTGAAATTATAGCAAAAAATTCACAGCAAGTGGCATTTAGCAGAAGTTATGCCTCAAGAAGATAATTCCAGAAGGCAAAGTTCTCAGTGTTTAATTCACTCTCTTAGTGCCTCTTTCAGCTACTTTCAGCAAGGCCAGAGAGGAAGAGCACAGTGCTCAAGAGGAACATAATCTGGGAACAGATCTTGGACAACTCTGTTTAACTGTTTGGGACCTGGAGGAAACCCCATTCCAATGAGACACAAGGTAATGAAAAAACAGTGACACACAGACCAAAATTCTCACATGGTCTTTCCTAGAGATTTAAGACATGAAAGCCCCACAATCATTACTAAACCTCAAATATGGCTAAACTAAAAGTTGTGCTTGAAAATGCAACCTTCCAATGCCTACTTTAAGGCACACAATAGAAACATTTTAATTTAGGCACTGCACATCAACTGAAGTCTACCTTGTAGTAAAACAATCCATGAACTCCTCTTTTTGAACGTATGTCACAGAAATTCTTACTGTAATTTAACTTTCCTCTGACATAAACACAGACTGAAGCACAGCAAAACACCTTTGATAGGAGAATTTTTAACACAGTACCTCTCACTGACTGTTTCTCTCTTTGCTTCACTCTCTTTTTTTTCACTTGTCTTCTTCCCAGCGGGTTCATTTTTTGCCTGAAATTTATTTTGCACATCATCAGCTGAGAATGTGGCCTCAATCATTTGCACAATCTGGTGGGAACTCAGCATCTCTGAGGCCCAGTACTCACTTTTTCCACAGAAATGATCTTGCCATGCAGCTCTGTCTTGTGCAGGTGGGTGATGCACTTGGTGGCCTCCTCGGCTGTGGACATGGTGACAAAGCCGTAGCAGCGAGCGCCGGGACTGCGAGCGTTGGTCACCACCTTGGCCCCCACCACCTTCCCAAAAAAACCTGGAATTACTCTCCCTGTGACAAGGTTTAACAGCACCAACTACAAGCTCTACTTCTGCTCTTTTTAATTCCTGGCCACTACCAGGCAGGAAAGTTCTGGTTTTGAGAGATTAACAAATAGAGAAGGAGCATTGCTTGGAGCCAACCACGTTTCTGTTACCAGTGGAATGCTACAAAAGCTGAACCAAGAGGAGGGAGCTAAAGGTTTAATTCTTTTCCAGAGAAAGACCCCTCAGGTGACAATAAAATTTATTTAAAAGGCATCTAACTTTACACCAACAACACCACTTTGCTTTAGTATGAAATAGTAAAAACCAAAGCAAATTTTTAAAATTTTAGCAGATTTCCACATTAATGCTCAGCTGCTAAGTGCCACCTTCCCTCCAAAAAATGTTTATGTGTTACTGCTGAGGCAGATCAACAATGTTATCTGCAATTTTTAAGAAACATGAAGTTTCCCCAAAAACTAAAGCTTGAAAAAGTCACACAAATGGTGTTTATACATGCTCAGATATTCAGTACAGCTCACTTTGTAACACAGAAATCAATCATATTTCAGGAGAGATGTTTTAAAGTACAGCTGAATAAAGAACCTACTTCTGAGCATTTGCTTTATTGCACAAGTACATCTACTTCCAGGAAGCTCTGCCTCCGTTAACACCCTGAAGAAAATAACAATATTTTATTTAAATGACTCAGTGGGTACCATGGCATCTATCTAGAGCCCAATGCTAGGTTGGCTGTTGTTTAGCTTTTAATTACATTAAAAGTTTTGTGGCACATCTCCATGACCAACATTTTAGGTTACCAGATGGAATTCTAAGCAAATCAACGGAAGTATTGCATTACAAGGAGCATTAAAAAGGTTTTACCAGTTCCATGACTTTCTAACTCCAAGCTGTGTTACAATCAATCAACTTTTGTACCTATTTTTAAAGTAATATTTAAGTTCCAGAGTATTTTCATCAGTAAAACATCCAATGGCTGATTGTCAGCACATACAATCTGCTGGTAGTTATCTGTAAATAGGCTTCAGGGGTCTGACAAAAATCCTTACTGAGGGCTCTGATATCAGCCTTTTATTGAACTCTTGCAATTTTCCAGCTGACAGGGAGATTTGACATTTTGTCTGTCCTTAACAGCAACTGCAAAATGAAACAACATCTCCCCATATCCCAAACTACCCAAGCAAGTGTTTTTCAAAGGAACTGCCAACTCTTGATAGATTAAAATTTAAGTTACTAAGGCAATTCCTAAGATATTCCCCAGTAATTCTGTCTCAACATTTACTGCATATTTTACTTAGTCCTAAGGAAATTTTTAATATGCATTAAATTCACAGTTGCCTGTGAATTTTCACTAGGTGAAAATACCATACTGGAGCACAGAAAATTGTGTATACAGTTATTATTTCAAGTAAAGGACCAAAAATTGAATTTTTTATTTATTTTTATATATTGTGGGCAACAGAAAAAAAAGAACTTTAGTCATTCAGTGTGTACTTTTCCTTGATATTCCACAGTATTTTTGGTAATTAAGACTCCTTTCATGGCTACTTCCAGTGATGAGAGTTTTAAAAGTCTTATTAACAGTTTCAAACAAACTTGTGCAAACAAAGCAAACACCAAAACAAAAACAAACCAACAAAAATAACCCCTTACCTTCCCATATTTGCTAAACAGATTCTTCAGATCTGTAGCTCTGGTGGTGGAAGCCAATCCACTCACCCAAAAGTTTCTACCAGAACTGCCAGCACTGCGACCTAGTTGGGAAAACAAACAGACAAAACCAAAACATACCCCAAATCCTAATTATTGGGATTAATTACTTGAATCGTTACGTGAATTAAAACAGAGCAGGATCACAAATTTTTAATCACAGAGCAAGTAAAATGCATTGTGTGATATTCTCCTCCCATGGTTTGCTTTGCTGAAGGTAAGGAGCTTTACAAGTCCAAAAATTTGGGTCAACTATGAGTTTTGATATAGGAGTATTTTATATCAGTCTTCAAGAAAGCAACTGGATTAGGGCACCTCTGAATTAACTGAGGCCCTCCAAAATTTGCCAGGATAGATCCCAGTAACTTACAGAAGACAGAAGAGCTGTGGGAATTGTGTCTGCACCCCACATGTGCTCATGTCTTGCCTTTTTATCTTAAGTCCAAGGGAATGCTGATGCAGAATTCCTCTCAAGGAAAGCCATTCACCACCAAGAAACCAAGGAAATTTCTGTTTCTGCCCACACAGATCTGGGATTCAGAGTCTGACCTCAGCTGCAGGAGTCAGGAAAGACCTGGCCTAGGAAGTTAGGAAATTAGACCTGGCCTGCTTAAACCATGCAAGAATTCCAGAACACCTGGCCAATTCTGCATCTCAGCTACAAAGGTGATTAAACAAATGCTAATGAACTTGCCAAGTCTGGACACCCACCATCAAGTGATTAAAGAGTGAACTGCAGCCCAAGGTTCAGTTTGCATGAAGCACTTACACAAGGATTGTTTCCAGTCTCCTCTGCAATGTCTGTACTGTCCTTCTGTCAGTCTGGGCAGCTCCAAGGCCTCAGTGAATGGGTTTCACTCCAGCTCTCTACTTCCATACTTCTGTTTTGGGGTTTTTTGGTGATATATGGAATTTTAGAGAACCTCTGCCATTGAGGGAAGCCATTTTTCCCAGAACCTTTCCAAAACGCTATTTTATTTGGGTGCCTTTCCATCTTCTTTGACCTGATAATCTCAGTCACTGGCAAGTAACTGAGAACACAGTTAATATTAAATTTATATTAACATTAAATTTATATTTATTAATTAAATTAATATTTACACAGGTTTCCTGGGAAGGATGCAGCAATTTGTATCAATCTCTTACAAAAACACCCAAAAAGAGGTGTTTTTTTTTGGTATAAAGGTGAGCACACTTGTGCCATCATTTACCTCAGAAGTGCATGGACAAAGGTATGTCATGCACACACACACACGTGGGAGATGCATTGTCCTGGTGTTTTTAAAAAGCTGAGCCAAAGGCTTTGATGCTTTTACTCCACACATTTCTACAATTTAAAGATTACTGTCTGCAGTTACTCTGGCACCAGAATCCTGGAGAAAGAAGAAAGTGCTCGTTCTTCTCTTTTCTGCTACTTTACCAATGAGTTTTTTAAAGATTTTTAAAACTATGTTGTTAATGTCCTTTTTGATTAAGGATTGATCAGTCTTAATGTCAGGTTCTGCCCTCCCACAAGACTTTAAAAAGTGCTCCTGTAATGGCTCTGCACTTTTAAGACAAAGAAATACTGGGACTTAAAAATATTTAACTTTGAGCCAAGAACAATGCAGATATTGGGAGCCAACCATCAACACTGGAGAAATGTTTCAGATGTACATCCACTGACAGCCAATCCCACCACGGTGAGCTCATAAACTTATTTTTCTGCACACTTGTTGATACAGTTTTCAGAATTATCACATGGAATATGGAAAACTCTTCATCCTAAATAAAACCCTTTCATACAAGTGGGCAAATAGCAATGTATGAGTCAGACCTGACTTGTACATACTATTTTAGGTTCCTTCTGGCTCAGTCACTTTGTTCTGCATGCAGAGAATGTTACACAGTCATGCAGCTCCCTCTCACTGCTGTTCACAAAGCCAGAACATGAATAAAATAAATGTGGGGATGCAGGAGCAAGGTGGTTTCAGACACCCACATTCCTGAAGGCTGCTCTGAAAGCAAACTCAAGGAAGGGTGTTCTCAGTCCATAAAAATAATACACTCAAGTCCTTAGGTAAAGGACAGCACACACAGAAGACTCCCTGAAATATTCTGAAATGAGAGAACTCGAGATTACAGACTGGAAACAAGAGGTAAATTTACCCTAAAAAGGGAGGTCCCGCAGCTTGTGCAAACAGGTATAACCCAGGATCTTGGAAAAAGCAGCTGACAGGGAGGTGAGTCTGGGTTGTAAAACCCAATTAAAACCAATCCAATTTCTCCTGTCCAGCTGGCAGCCAGACCTCATGATGAATTTCTTGATTTTTATAGGAATTCCTGGAACTGCCATACTTTAAAGTGCTGAAGTACCTGCCAGCAGCATGTAAGAGAACAGAGGTGGGGTGAGCTGCAAAGACTCAGCTGCCTGGTGCATTAAAAGCAAGAAGTATGAAGGTATGACACTGATCAAAATATATTCTTTTGGTTTATGATGCATATTTGCACCATAGGATCTGTGTGGACAAAAATTTAGTAAAATCAGTATCATTTCAAGACAACATGAAGCTGTAATATTTGTGGCATTTAAGTATGTGAATACTGGATCCCAAATTACTTCAGCAAAACAGAAGATGGGAAGGAGAATTCCAAGTGTATAGTAAAGCAAACAATTGAAAAAGGTTCCTAACAGCTGTTAGTGGGCATCTCCAGTGCCAAAAAACCATAATGTCATGTATTAACATTGACCTTTAAAAATCAAGATACAAACACAACAGTGCAACACACATGTCCTGAAAAAATGCATAAAAGGAAAATACTTATTTTGACATTACTAAGAAAATGCAGAAAAAGGTGAATTTATGCTAATTAACAACTGCATAGATTGCAATCAATTTCTAATGAAATAACCCATCCAAGACAAACAGCTATCCCCAATCATTGAAGTTTTAGATCTGAAAACAAACATACCTTTCTCATCTTTTGAGATTATCTTTGTATCTCTGTCCTCCTCAACAGGGCTAAAGACAAAACACCACATTATTCAAGTCAGAAAGAAAAGTGACTAAATATAAACTATGAAAAAAGCTAAAATTAAATACCTACCAGAAAATATGTTGCAAACGAAAACACACCTTTGTATACTGGATTTAAGAAATCTGACAAGAAATAATGAAGTCAGATTCTTAAACAGACTTACATTAAGAAGATGCTTACAAATAAGAGTAATTTGGGAAAACAACCTTTGAAGGTTGATGAAGGAAAGAAATCAAACCCACTGCGTTTAAAAAAATAAAAATATCTGCACATGGAGAAATAAAAGAGACCTTTAGGCATGAGTGTGTTTGCAGTCCAGAAAGGGAAAAGTATCTGTATGAAATTTCCATGAAGAAACTCTCTTCTTTCTTCTGTATCCAGTAACTAATCTTTACATTTTAATGCCCTACAATATCTTTTTACTGCTTTCACTGCTCTCTACTTAGTAACAGAGTTAAGGTGTGTGCAATATCACAAGATCTGTTTACAAGTAGAATATTTAGCTTTTATAACTGTGATTAAACTTCTCTAAATCCACTTATGTAGTTTAACAGGTTTTTAAACCATTTCATTTCACTGGAAGTATTTCAAGCATCACTTCACAGATCTGGGGATATGATTGGGTTTCCAATCTCTATGACCCTGCATGATCTGGATTGTCCATTATAAAAATAATGCAAATTATGTTTGTTTGCTTGGGTTTTTTAATAGTTAATGGTTTAAAAAGTATTAGTTGAAAAGACAGGAATATGTTTTTCTTTAACAGTACCTGGCTCCAGGTGTAGCTTCTCCATTTTCTGTTTAGGAAAAAAAGACCACAGAATGAGGATTTTATAAAAGGTAATTTCTAACACAGAATAATAACAACTCCCTACTCAATCCCAAAATTGAAAACGAAACAAATTTATCTATGACATTTAGCTCTTTTTTTCACCATCCACTGGAAACCAGTATTTTATATAAGTACTTTTTCTGGCACATTAAAGCCGAATCAAAATATCAGCCATAACTGCATTCTCCCAAATAACTCTGAATATAAAGAGACCAATAAAATATCTTTGTGTACCACCACACCAACTACAGAGTAAAAAAGAAACCAGCTACTGCTTCATAGAGCTGTGGGAGAGAGAAGAAATCAGCAGCACAAGCCCCTTGTTATCTGCCATAAAGTGAAGGAAATCTTGAGAGCTGACTGAAAAGTAGGGAAAAAACCAGAGCACCCTCAGTTCACACACTGTGCTGGGCAAGGTCTTGGATTCTGTTGCAATTTCATATTATGGTCACATTTTCTTTTTTGCAGTAGGAGAACTCAGTAAATACTAATACAACATACAGCTATGAAATACAGCTACATTTTCAGTTTACCTTCATTTCAATTAAATCTGAAGAGGAGGCTTCTAAATTGTTTTCAATTTCATCATAATCTTCCTAAAAGAGTAAGAAAGGAAGGAAAGTATTTCTTACCAAAAGTAGCTTAAGGAGAATACATCTGTACTTCATTTTCCCTTTCAAGAAAACCAGAAATACTATAAAGTTTTTGACAGATCTCTGTTGCTACTTCAGAGTGTGACCCAGAAATGAGGAGCAATGTGTGAACACACCTGATATTTAAATATCTTTCTCCAATTACTTTTCATTTTAATTTCAACAGGATATTGTCTATTTCAAACTTATTCTTAGAGTCTTATCTCACATTTCTGTGGTTACTGAACATGTTTTTTCACTTTCCCACTTTTTAACTTTACTTTCTAAATGAATAAAACAAGTTAGAAATGAAGCCGACTTCGGTTTACACTCTTCCAAACTGAAAACATACCCCAAAAATCTTTTTTCTTTAAAGAGCTGAGGGTAAGATGCAACCAAAACTCATCCATTACATGAGGTTAATTTACAGAACATCACAAAACTGCCCTTCAGGTGAAGGGGATGCTGTTGCCACGACTCTGTGTTCAGTCCCATGACAGGGGAGATTCTCTCCAAGCCTTTGTGTTTGTTTGGCCTGTTGGGGTGCAGACACCACAGCCAGGCTCTCTTGAAACCCCTGCAAGAGTGGGGACTTAGTGGTAAACTGCAGCTGGTAAGCCACAGAGCAGCTGTCAACCAAAGGAAAAGACAGAAGATTTCTTGTTGTTGACCCAACAGAATGCACAGCTCTGTGCCAAGAGTCACCTCAGATGTCACACTGATGTCACCCACCTCCAAGGCATGACTACCCCCACTGAACAGGATGTAAAACCAGAGTCACACCAGCTCCACCTAAATGTAAAAATAGTATAAACGTAAGTTAAAAGTGGGGAGAAGTTAAGGAAAGCTCCACTGCAACAGTCTGAATCTGTCTTTTCCCCTTTAGGGATGTCTGGTGGGTAAGAATTGTACTCTAAGTGTGATGAATAATGAACTGCAGCCAGCTTCTGTTAGGAATTAAAGCTGGTTAATATGGTGGGGTTTTTTTGCACACAGATACTACCACCAGCAATCCTGGAACCTTAACCTGTTGTGATTTTCTATTACATTAATGCTGTTATTCCATAAAGGGTTCAGTGTGAGTCCTTCAAGGGCACCACCAGTGCCTGCAGTGAGTAACAGACTCACCAGCTGAGGAGACCTGGGACAGGGGTCTCTGACTGTGTGACCCTCCCCAGGGCACTGGAACCACTCTCTGATCCAGGGGACTCCCAGTGAAGGGTGCCCAGGACAGGATGCTGGCACTTTGTGGACCCAAGGGTCCTGGCACTGACAGACCAGTCAAACACAAAGGCTTTGAGAAAATCTCCCTTTTCAGGTGACAGAAGATAAACGGAAAAAAGTTGAAGCAGATATGCAGATGCCAAAGAAAGAATATGCTCTGTTCAGTGAGTGAACCTAAAATAAATTAAAACAAACCCACAAGGATCTAAGAAGGATAACATTTGGGGAGTGAATGTGACACATGGATAACCCTGTGCTGTCTGCAAACGACATTGCAAGCTGCTCTCAAAACCAAGTCAAAAGCCTGGCAATGTTAGAAAGGCAACACAGAAAGTTCTTCTTTTATCAATCCCTATGAGAAAACAGAGCAAGACAAGAACAAGTTTCCTTAAACCAGAACATTATTTCTGCAGGAACGATATCTAAATTACCTAAATTGAAAATTTATTTTTCTCTCTCCCCATATATATAAATACCTGGATGGCTGAGTGTATGCACATAGGCACTTTAACACATATAACATCCAGACAGGAAGAGAGAATACAGAAACTAATACAGCATTCTCAATTCCAGGCTCCTTTCACAGCAAGCAAAGCTGATGCTGCAAAGTAAGGAAGATGGTGACTTGTCTACTAAGAACATTTCAAGCCTCAAGAATATTTACCATTTATAAGAGTAGGACATGAGAGCTGTGAATGGGGAATAGAAACCACATCACATTCATGTCCTACATTCTACTGGACTGAAATACCTTCTTCATGTGCCCATATCTCTATCAAATAACTTTTGAAAAATTAAAAAGACCTCTACTCACTCACCTCATTTTCTGTTAGCTGATCAGGAAGCTCCTTCATTTCTGCTTCGACATTATCTTTATTATCAGACAGAGAATCGAGAATGTTGTCAGGACTGTAATCTTCTCCACAGTCTACAGCACTGCTGTTATCTATTTCAGCTTCATCTAACACACTAATATCCATCATATCAATATCCTGCAAGGTATCCAGGTTGGCTTCAATATCCTCCTACAGAGAGAAAAGGGTAAATGTGTGTTTATTGCAGGTTACACGAGGCACATTCTCAGTAACTGCAATCATGATTTCTCTTACCTGCCCATCTCTAGAGTTTTCTTCTAGACCATTGTCTTCCACACCTTCTTCTTCTGGCTTTCTTCCTAAAAACAGTATCACTGCAGTGAGATGTAGCACTACATTTTGTACTATGTTTAAGCTTTGCTGAATTATCTGTTACAAGAAGTAATCCTGAAGAGGCTGATCCAGGATGTAACTGAGGTCCCCTTGTCCCTCCAGAACAGCAAACAGAAGGAGCACCAATTACCAGCAGCGTTTTTTTTTAATGCTACAGTATTTTTCTAAAGCTACAGTCTCATTCCACCACACTGCCAATACCTAAAAAGACAACAGCCTCTGGGTAATCCATTTAAAAGTAACACCTTAAGACTGTTATGAAAACACCTCCCTTAATTAAACGGATTTAAGAATTAGTGTTCACTTTCAAGATCTTGGACATACAAATCACATTTATGCACATCTGTCACCACCAAACTCGTACTGCTATTCAAAGATAACAGCTCTTTTTCTATTTTTAGACACTATCTTAAAAGAAGAAGCTTAATAATCTGTTTGTCATCAGAAAGTATTTTTAACAAGCAGTTATCAGCAATTCAAGTAAGCCATGTGCAAAATGCCACGTACAATATTTAATATTTTGAAGCAACATATAGTTAAATATAGTTACAGTTTACACATAACTGAAATGTAATTATAGAGGCTTTCCATGGAGCTTATGCTGAAGCTGCTTGCTCTGTGCCTGACACAATTCTGCTTGTGGTCACAAATACAGAAACACCTGCAATTTACAGTTTCATCTTCGAGTTTCAAGACTTGCTAATAAAACACAGGTTTAAAGTTGTTATTGCTCATTAATGCAAGAGAATTCTACCATTTTCCATGATGTAAGAAGCAACTGTTTTTTTTAAATCAAACTAATTCAACAGGAGAAAACAAGTTTGTATGTCCAGTTCTAGCACCATGCAAACACTGGAACTGCAAGTGTCCAGACACTGTACCTTTGCTAGTTCTTTTTGGCATTCTCTTTGTGGTCAGCTCTGAGGCCACAGGAATTTCATCAGGATCTCCTCCTTCCTCCTCAATGGCCTGTTGGAGACAGCAGGATGATATCCACTGTATGAATTGCTGCTGTGCATATGTACAGGCTTTGGATGGGGCAGTTAATTCTCTTCACAGCAGCTAACAGGGGGCTGTGGTTGGAGCTTGTGCTGAGAACAGTGCTGATAACACAGTTATGTGGTCCTTGGCTGCCTGCTAGGGTTTAACCACAACTGCATTTTTTAGGATTTTTCAGAGAGAAACATGTCTCTCCCTAGCTCAGGTCATACAGCCAGGCAGCTGTGCAACCTGTCAGAAATACTAAATAATAGGGTGCAACACATCCCCACAGGCAAACAAAGCTACAGCTGGGGAGCAAAGCTCCCTGCTCTGCAGATAAGCACATCAACAGTATAAAACCGGGAGAGAATCTCACAGGAGCTCAAGTTTGAGTTTTTCTCAACGTGCAGGCTTGCTAGAACCCATAAAAGGGCCAAGGCTGACCATGCTGTTCTGGCCTCGTGGAAGTCTGTGGGAATACATTCCAGTGAGGTCGGAGAGATGGAACAGGGTCAAGTGTAGGGGTGCCAAGCATCAGGGCAGAAACCTATGCACAGAAAGTTCCACCTAAATAGGAGCATAAAATTCTTTACAGTGCAAGTGAGCATGCACTGGAATAGATTGCCCAGGGAGGGTGTGGAGTGTCTCTCACTGGACATATTCAGGAACTGTCTGGACAAAATCCTGCTGGAGCAGATGACCCACTGCGATCCCTTCCGAGCTTACCCATTCTGCGAACGGCACGGAGAAGCGCGACAACAAGCACGGGGAAGAGGCACGTGTGTGCATGTCGGGGGAACGGGAGAGTAAAGCAGGGAAGGACGCGCGGACGCCGGGGTCAGGCAGTGACGGGGAGGCCGAGGCCATCTCACATTCCACCCAGTGCAACCCGAGCCGCGCTCAGAGCAGCGATGGAGCACGGGCGCCCACACCGCAGAGCGGCGCCGTGAAACGGCTCTGCAGCGGCAGGAACAAAGGGGACACGGCGGTGCCCAAAAACACCCCGCGGGTGCCCGGCGGCGGCAACGGAGCCCCGCTCCCCTCAGGGCCGCCCGCTCCCCTCAGCGCCCCGGGCCCGAGCGCGCACGCGCCGAGAGCGCCACAGACAAAGGACCCGGATGGCCGCACGCCGCTGCCCCCCCGCTTCCCCCGCCGCGCTTCGCCTCACCTTCCTCAGCCGCTCCATGAGGACGCTCTTGTTGCCGCCGCTGTCCAGGTTCCGCCGCTTGAGCTCAGCCCGCAGGTCGATGACTCGCAGCTCGCTCAGCCGCCGGGTTTCAGGCTCCGAACCAAAAGTCGCGGCCCCACTAAGGGATGTGAAATCCCCCAGTCCGGCCGCTGATTGACTCTCCGCCATCAAGGCCCCTTCGATATTTGGCCTCGAGCCCGAACGCGCAGGAGAACACGGCACAACCCAGCAGCGAACCTAGCGATCACGGCACAAAATGGTGGGGACGGAGACGCGCCGAGGGGAGGGGGAACAAAGCGCGCTGTGCGCATGCGCGGGCGGGACTGAGCGGGCGGAGCCTGGCGGGAGACTCGCCCGCACAGGCGCAAACTGCGTCGCCCGCGTCCAAGGACGGCTCGCGAGCTGTCGCGCATGCGCAGAAGAGGGACCGGGGGCTGGCTGGCCGCGTGACGTCATCGCCGCTCCGGAGTTGGCGGCGCCGCGGCGCTCGCGGCCTGCCCGGGCCCCGGCGCGCATGCGCGCTGCGCCTCCCTCACTTTCCCGCCCCCTCGCTCTCCCCTGCGCCCCGGGTCTCCTCCATTTTGTGCTGCGGCGGCCGCTGCGGCTCTCCCGCCTCGCCTTCACCCCGCCTTGCCCCGCGCCAGCGAGTCCAAACCACGGCCCATGGCGGAGAGTCACTCACCGGCCGGGCTGGGGGAGCCTGCGTCCCTGGCTGGGCCTGGCGTCCCCGGTTCGGAGTCGGAAAGCCGGCGGCGGCCGCTGAGCGAGCTGCGCGTGATAGACCTGCGGGCCGAGCTCCGGCAGCGCAACCTGGACAGCGGCGGCAACAAGAGCGTCCTCATGGAGCGGCTGAGGAAGGTGAGGGCGGCCGGGGGTGCCTCAGGGTGGGTGGAACTGCTGCGACCCCGGCCCGGCGGGCACCGCTGAGGAAAATGGCGCCAAAGAGCGCCCGGGGCCGGGGCCCGGCGGGATCGGTGCGAGCGTTCGGGGCCCGGCGGGATCGGTGCGAGCGTTCGGGGCCCGGCGGGATCGGTGCGAGCGGTCGGGGCCCGGCGGGATCGGTGCGAGCGGTCGGTGCCCGGCGGGGCCCGGCCTGCGCTGGGCCGGCCCAGGCTCGCCCTGTGACCGCTGCTGGCACCGAGTGTCGCCGAGCCCGCTCCGATCGCAGCGCTCGGTGTCTGCCGTGGCGCTCGGCTGGGTATTCCCAGCTTGGTGCACCGGAGTTCTGCTGTTCTCTGAGCTGCTGGATTTAGGGTGCTGTGCGCTTTCTGGGGGGATTTTTGCTGCGTACTGGTGTTTTTGTGGTAGCCCTTTCACTGTATCCTCATCACACCGTTTCCCGTGTTAATACCATGAGGAATCCCTTCTCTGATCTGCTTGCTGTGTCCCAGAGCCGAGGATTTTACCCTGTCACAAAACCCGTGTGTCTGTGAACAGTTCCAAATGCTGTAGGATTGACGATGAAGAGTTCTAAATGCTGAAAGGCTTTTTTTTGCTGACTATTTTCCCAAAACCTTACACCAACACATTACTGCCTTCTCCCTGCTTGTTGCTTTGCTCTGGTGGTTTTTTGTTTGTGTATCTAAGTTGCTGATTCATGGTTTGGAATTTTTCAGCCTCTGGTGTGCAGCTCTTAAACTCAGCACAAACGTACAAATGATTTTTTTAATGTCTGTTTTTATATCTGTCTTTCTCTTTTGCCCCTATTAGGCTATTGAGGAGGAAGGAGGGAATCCTGATGAAATTCCAGTGGTTTCAGAAAATATCATGAAGAAAACTCCAAAAAGAAGCAGCAAAGGTACAAGGCAGTTAGAGAGACTTTCCACCTTATCATCCTTGAGTTTTCAAGCAAGTTTACTCATGGAATGAAACTTTTATTATCTTTTTTTTTTTGTTACTGATACTCTTTCCCACATTTGTTCTCAGGTTTCTAGGCATGGGTGATAAAATTCAAGTTAGCAGCCATTTATTTAGAGAATTTCATGTGATTTTGTAAGGGAGGAAATGTTGAAGGGTCTGTTGGTTTGTTCTCAGAGTTCCCAGAAATTTGTATTAGGAATTACCAAGTAACACTGAAGCAGTGTCAGTGTTTTTAATACTTTTTAAATGTAGAAATGTAGAGTTTCTAGCAAATGCAAAATAAGCTCTGTAGTGTTATGCTTCATAGCTGAAGCAGTTGCAATTTTCTTCTCAGAAGACAAATTTTTAATCCATTTCTGAAGTCAGATATGTTTTCAAGGCCTTATGTTTGGTTTTTGTAGTGGTGGGACAGTCTTAAGTAATCCTTATTTTCAGAAAATAATTTACTGTTTTTCTAAAATTAGTTAATTAACACCATTCGATTTTATTTTGTAAACAAATAGTGTTTAAACTTTGCATTGGAGCTGAGCAAAATAACTAGTTCAGCTAGAGTATTTTTATTACTAGACTTGGTTTACAGAAAACGTATATTTTGTGTAAACTGTAAATGTAAACTGTTTTGCTAGCTTATTTGTTTGATTTTTGTCATTACACCTGATTGGGAGTGATGGTGCAATTGCTTGCAGGTTAAAATGTGAAATCTTCACCACATAGAGGGCAAATGTCACGACTCTGGGTGAAAGAGATCTTCTAAATCATATTAATTTCCAAGTCTCAGAAAAACACCTGATGTTGTATTGCAGCACTTTTAGTGTGGGGATGGAAATAGATGAAATATTCCTCTTGGCTCTAAAATCCTTCTCACTTTTCAGTTGTAATGTGCTTGTAGTTTTTGAGGAAAAGAAGATTCATAAAAGGTCAAACAGCTGCTTAGATCTGAGTTTGAGGAGTTGCTCCTTGGTGCTGAGGCTGGTGTAGTGTTTTCAGTAATTTCAGTAATTCCATTAATTGGGCTAATTCACATCCAGCTGGTGGGCAGAGCACTGCAGTGAAACCCACAGGTAAAGTGGGGTTATTTCAGTATTTTGTGCTGTGTTTTGTTTGGATGGGTTTTTTTTCCTTCTCATAAATGTCTGTAAAGAAATGAAAGGTTGAGGTAATAAATTGCTGCAATCTGAGCTGAGCCCAGCGTTCTGGGGAGGTCACAGAGCTTGAGCTCCTGCCAGGTGTTGGACTGTGGCCTGTTTGTCACTTACTGGGGTGGTCACAAACAGGGAAAAACCTGAAGGGAGCACCAACTCTGATTAAAAAGTAAAGCTTGAGGGGTACAACTATAATTTCTGCTCTCATTCTAATGATGATATTGTTGTTAGGACGTAGAGCAGATGAAGAGGGAGTGGAGGACAATGGCCTGGAGGAGGATTCTGGAGATGGACAGGTACAGGGGGCTGCCTCTGCAGGGGATGGTGGCAGATGGCTCTCAAGTCACCCTGACTGTGACATGTGCTTTTTTTCTTTTCACAGGACGATATGGAAGCAAGTTTGGATAACTTGCAGGATATTGACATGATGGATATTAGTGTGTTAGATGAAGCTGAAATAGATAATGGCAATGCAGTAGATTGTGGAGATGATTACAGTGCCCATAATATTCTTGACTCGCTGTCTGATAGTAAAGAAAATGCTGATGCAGAAGTGAAAGAATTTCCAGATCAGCCTGCAGAGTATGCTGTAGGTAACTTGGAGGCATCCCCACAATTTTCAGAAATTAAAGAAGAATCAAGAGAAATACCAATAGTGATGGTAGGCATCTCTCATGTGTATGGAATCAGGGTTTTCTTTTTAAAATTTATTTATTTCTGGATTAAATAGCAAAATGCTGAGGCTAAAAGAGTGCTTGGGAAAATAGCTAAAGAGTACTTGGGAGAATTTGGAGCTGTACTGGTTCTTATGGTCATTGCTTTTCTTTTTACATATTTGTGGAAATCAATGTCTTAATTTTTAAAATACTTACATGATTGTACACATGTGATTTTATTAACAGCAGTTTACAGAGCATTTGTTTTTAATCATGCTTTGAACTCTGCTTCACCTTATTAATTATAATATGCATATTATTCCTATTTTAAGATCTTTATTTTAGAGAACATGTGATGCGTACAAATAGTGTAGCTTGCTTTCTTCTCAACTGAACAGCACCATCCAGGGAATGATATTCAAGGTTATTTTTCTGCTAAGATTGGGCCTTGCAGTTACTCAGTTGCTGAAATATTTTCATATTGGCTTACTGTGTTCATCTGGCTGTTGACACTGGGGTAGAGGATAATCCCTTCCCCCAGAATCAAGTGCTTTACCTCCTGAAATGAACAACAAAGCATTTGAAAAAAGTTATTTCTGCCCCATCTAATGGGGCAGTATTGCTCTTTGTTGTGTGTCCACATTGGCTACAAGATTGTAAAGTTGTGTGGCTTTTATTTTTTCTAAAGCTGCAGAAATAAGCTTGGCTCCTATCCCCAGGCATATCCTTGTCCTACACAAATCAAGTGGAAATACTCAAAAAAGGGGGATTTTTTGAGTGAGTAAATGTCTTGAGGCCCATTCTTCAGCTCCCATTATCTGCTTTCATCAGTGAAGGAAATAATTACCAAGTCCTATAGTTTCTGAGAAATTCATTTGAATTTGAATGTTTTCAAAGCTTAAATATGTTAAATTATAGTAATGCTTTCACTAAATATTCTCCTGTAATGGGTGGATAAAAAATGTCATTCAGAATAGCATCTTGCTTATGAAATAGTGATATTTCTCCTTTTCAAAATCTTTTTCACTACAGGAACTTGAAGAGTTACCTTTGGAGCCAGGTACTGTTTGTTTTTGTTTAGTTACTTTGATTTTTTTTTTTTAAATGGAAAAAAAAACCTGGGCATTTAAACAGTTTCGTTCTTCATTGAGGCTTTTTGCGTCCCTGTTTGGTTTTTTTTGGTTCTTTTTTTTAATGCATTACTGTAGTGTACGTTATTATGGTGGAAAATCCAGGTCATGCAGGGTCATAGAGATTGGAAACCCAGTCATATCACCAGATCTGTGAATAACCACCCTTGGAAAACTTGTTCAATGCTGTGAAATGGTTCCCTAGAACTGTTACTGCAGAGTGAAGTTAAGGAACGAGCCTTAAAGATGTAAAGGTTCTGAAAACAGATCTTGTGATATCACACTGTACAGTGGTTCTGTGAATAAATATAAATACAGGAGTGTAGGCAGTGCAAAGCTCTGGTGCAGAACACAAATTAAGGAGTGACTGGACTTCAGAAGAAGGATCACGCTGCCATCAGGAATTTGCTACAGATCCCACTCGCTTTCTGGACTGCATACACACTCAGAACCATCAGAAGATGCCCAGTTCTCATGTTGGACTGTCTCTGCTAAAATAGATATATTTTTTTTTCTTAAGAACAGTGGGTTTGATTTCTTTTCCTTCCTCAACCTTCAAAGGTTGTTTTCCCAAATTACTCTTATTTCTGTCATCTGCAAAACAGAATTGTCCGTTTAGGGGTACAAATCCCTATCTCCTGTCACTCTTCTAGAAAATTGCCAATAATAGTGTTTATTTTGGAACTAATTTACTGGTAGGTATCCAATTTTAGTTGTGCTGTCTAGATTTAATGGTCTTTTTGCATATGATCTCTTGAATAATGTGGTGTTTTATCTTTAGCCCTGTTGAAGACAAAGATACAAAGACAGTCACAAAAGATGAGAAAGGTAGGTGCACATTTGGGGGTTTTGGGGTTTTTTATTTTCAAAGGACCTGGAGTAAAAAGGAGGACTGTTAATTCAGTGAACCCTCAATGCAGTTGTAACACATCCCTTCAAGATAGAACATTAAAATATCAGGTCCTTGTTACTTTTGTAACATTATTAACAGAGTTGGGGTTTGTTTTAAATAAGTATTATTTTGTGAATTGACATTTGATACTTTGTAATTCTCCTAAAAGTGATTGAAGTGCAGGAAGAAAATCTGTAGCTACAAACTCTTTAAGGCTATTCAAATGCACATTAATTATGGAGAGTTTTATCAAGGAAAATGTGGGGGGGTTAGGACTCTGAATTTTGCCCTGCTGCATTTGTGTTTCACATGGTCTTTTATATTTTTTTGTGCCCCAGGCCGTGTGGGGAGTGGTTCTGGCAGAAATTTGTGGGTTAGTGGACTTTCCTCCTCTACTAGAGCTACAGATTTGAAGAACCTTTTCAGCAAGTATGGAAAGGTATGTAGTGGATATGTAAATTAACAAACCATTCTGTCAGTTTAAAATGCTGAACTTAAATTTTGCTCTTATTTTCCCTCATGAATAACTGGGCAGGCTGAGTTCTTAACTTTGTGTTCTTTGGAAACTCCATTCTGAAAGGAGCACAGTTCAATAAAGAAGATTGAAATGGAGGGGTGGGAGCAGGGATGGAATTTGCAGAGAATATCTGTGCAGATACCTGTGAGAATGAGGCAGTTATTGACAGGAGAGACTGGTAGATCATCATGTAGTAGTCTGATTATGTCTTAAGTATCTGGCAATTAATGCTGTTTCAAATTATTCCATTTCAAGGACTATGCTTTGCAGAAATCCAGTCTTTGAGGGCAGGCTTCCACTTGCTTTACAGTGCCTGCTATCATACAAGAGCAGAAGTTGTGGAAGGGAGCTCTCTGTGTGACCATCTCCCCTTCTGCCAAATACTTTTCTTAATGTAATATTAAATGTTTATATCACTAAGTGCCACTGCCTGTCACAGATTGTCACCTGTGGGTAGAGATGTCCTGTAAGGGAAGGGAAAGTGGTAGTAGTTTTGTTTATTCAATTTTTTTTTTTTTTTTTACAATCCCACTCTCCCTTCTCTGTATATATCTGCCTTAAGCTTCTGACCTGATCAGCAACTTGAAGATTAATTTTCTGAGCTGCATTATTAAAGATCTCCCTGCCTATTACAAGGACTGATTGAACTAAATGGCTTTTAAAAGTCCTTTCCCATCCAAACTGTTCTAAGAAATAGTCATTAAGTTAGAATTTATTTAGTGGCAGACCTGTAAACACAGAATATTTGGTTTTTTCCCAAAGGTGGTTGGTGCAAAAGTGGTGACAAATGCTCGCAGTCCTGGCGCTCGCTGCTATGGCTTTGTGACCATGTCAACATCTGAGGAGGCCACCAAGTGCATCAATCACCTCCACAGAACAGAGCTGCATGGTAAAATGATTTCTGTGGAAAAGGTAAGTGGCAGCAGTTTCATGGCAGTGTAATGAAAATAAAAGCATGCAAAGCAAATTTTAATCTCTGTCTCTGACTATGTAATTCTTTCTGGCTGAATTTCTAGGCAAAAAATGAACCAGCAGGAAAAAAGCCTTCTGACAAAAAGGAAGGTGAAACAAGGAAGGAAAAAGACAGGCACCATTCTGCAGATTCCAAATCTGAGAAGTAAAGTGTTGTTTTGTGTTTTATGATACTCATTTCAAATGTAGCCAGGTGACCAAGTTGAACAGTAACTGTAATAAATCTTGATTTAGTGTTTCATCCTGCATTTGAAATAGGAATAATGCTTGGAAAGTTGATGTTTTACAGTGGTAAGGGCATCTTAACTGGCCCTCTGTTCAGAAATACAAAGTTCTTTGGTGTTAGTGTAATAACTTGCTAGCTATATTAGGAGATCTAAATCAAATTATTTATAGATAAACCTTTACTTTTACCAGTTCTATGTCCTCTGATCTGCCTCTGTCTTGGACTCTACTTTTAACTGACAAATATTTCTAGGATTTAGCCTGTCTTTCTGGTAGACTGACTATGTGGTTAGTGAGTGATACTTCCAACATTGGTTTTTCAAGTGGTTTGTTGCTTTTGAAAGAGGCATTTTGCTTTCCTGCTTTTTTGTAGATCTGTTGGTGTTAAGAAGGAGGAGAAGATGGACAAAAAAGATGATGCTAAGAAATCAGAAAAAGATGAAAAAGAAGGAAAAGAAAAGGATGAACAAAAGACTGGATCTTCTGATAGATCCAGGGCAAGCAAATCAGGTGATGCTAGCTGTCTTTCAGAAATGTTTTCAAGGGTGCTTGTACATTATTGCATGTGACTGATAATTCAGTAAAAAGAAGCTTTCTTAATAAAACTGACACAGACATCAGAAAACACCTTGAAAATTTTGACTTTAGTTTCTAATAATGTAAAAGTTTCCATAATTTTTATGGAACTGTCACTGAGTTTAGACCTGACACTATGTGTGGTTTGTGTCCTTTTTTGAGCTTTTTTTTTTAACTGTGGAGAAGGATGTATTTGTGGACAGAAGAATTAAATTAAATTTGTGTTCTTTTAGCTGTCATCCCTGCCAGAAAATACTGCTGTAACTTTGTGATAAATTTACTGCTCCCATCCTCATGTTGGCCAAATCTTGGCAAGCTATTTAAATCACGAATTAGTTCCATAAGTAATTAAAATAACTTTTTTACTATTTAGTATCTTCACAGTTTTGAGTCTTGCAAGAATTGCTGAATGTCTTTTGTACCATTTATTTTTTGGCTCTGTTTTGTTTTCTAGCAAGTCGAGGAACAGAAAGGACAGTGGTAATGGATAAATCTAAAGGAGAGCCAGTTATTAGTGTGAAAACTTCTGCATCAAAAGAGAGGGTAAGGCCAACTTCCAGAGAAGCTTTGGTGTAAAAATTGGTGTCAAATAGATTTATATGCTCAGAGATAAAGGGGTTTTAGCCTTGCATTTTGGTACAATTATCCTTTTATCACTTTCTGGAAAGCATCAGGGATTTAATGATGTGGCAGAGGGGAATTGCTTCTGTTTCACCTTTTTTATACTTCTTTACTACTGACCCAGTGCAAGAAGTCGAGTTGCAATATGAAAATGGTGTTAGGATGATGTGTTTCCCTGAGCTTGGAATGTTATTGGGGTGTGTGTTGTTTGAAGTGCAAGTCAGGTTGTGATCTCCTGGTATTTATTTGTAATATTTTGAAGTTCTGGTCAAACTGGGGGTACTTTTCCCTGGAATTCCACTGCTGTTTTTTACCTCTGGGGAAGGCATGGCAGCCTGTTTTGTTCAGGTTGACACAGTGTAGGTATTTGCCTGGGAGCTTTAGCTGGAGATGCACCATGTTCAGCTCATGCATTGTTCTGATTCATCTCAGAGCACAAAGAGCCAGGACCGCAAATCGGAGAGCAAGGAAAAGCAGGATATTTTATCTTTTGATAAAATCAAGGAGCAGCGGGAACGGGAACGGCAGAGGCAGAGGGAGAGAGAAATCAGGGAGACAGAGAGGCGCCGGTGAGTTCCACTCCCTCTAAACTTAAATGGCATCTTTTACTCCCTTATCTGTTCTGTGTTTTTGTTCAAAGCAGTGCTGTGCTGACCCTCCAACAGTGATATCTCAGATTGATTTCATACTAATTACTGTCTCAGACTGATTTCATACTAATTACTGCTAGAACAGACATTAATGCTAAGTGATGGAGGCTTTTACTGCTGAAATCAATGTTCTCATGAGACTTCCGTAGGTGCTTTCAGGCTTTGTTTTCCACTTGACTGGATTTGAATTTCCTTGTTTTTTCCCCTGAAGCTTGTAAATACTTTTTGTACATCAGATTTCTGTCTTAGGACTTGCTGTGCTCTCTGGAAGCTTTCTCAGACCTGAGTTAAGAGTAGATACCATGTTACTTATGCAGAATTCTCACCTTTACTTCTGTCATTTGTATGCAGCTTTTTATTTTCCCCTAAGCTGTTACTTAATTGGGAAGAAGGGGGAGAACATAGAAACTTCTTTTAAAAGAAATGAAACCCCACTCAAAACAAAGAAGCGGTAGAGCTTGGACTGAAGAATCTCAATTAAAAACTCTTTTAAATTAGAGAGAGAGAGAGGCGAGACCGGGAGCAGCGCCTGGCAGCCATTCACGAGCGGGATGAGAGACAGAGGCTCCAGAGGGAGCGGGAGCGGCTGGAATTCCAACGGCAGCGCCTGGACAGAGAGCGCCTGGAGAGGGAGAGGTTGGAGAGGGAAAGGATGCACATAGAGCAGGAAAGGAGACGGGAGCAGGAGCGAATCCAGAGGGAGAGGGAGGAGCTGCGACGCCAGCAGGAGCAGCTGCGCTACGAGCAGGAGCGGAGATCTGCCATGAGGAGACCTTATGATCCTGACAGCAGGTGAGGAGCAGGGCAGTGGGGCTCCAAACTCCTGAGCCACATCTCCCTTGGGAGCCTGTGGAAACGGGGAGCACTCTGGATAAGGCAGTCATGGGAGCTTGCAGCTGAAAGACTCTTTATGTGCTGCTTCTAACACTAATAGCAATTTGAAGAAGAGCAAATAATGTGCTTGTACACTGTAAGCACTGTTTGGGTCTACTCTTCTTTCCCAGAGAGGGATGACCAAGAGAAGTAACAACCCAGAGTTGTTACTACTTTGAGTAATAGAGAGTAGAGTAGTAATAATAGAGTTAATAGAGTAGTATAGTTGTAATAATAGAGTACTATAGAGTAGTAATAATAGTTACTAGATTAGTAGAGTTGTAATAATAGGGTAGTAGTAGTAATAGAATACTAGTAGAGTAGTAATGGTCACTACTAGTAATAAATTATTACTACTAGTAGAGTAGTAATAATAGGGTTAATAGAGTAGTAGAGTTGTAATAATAGAGTAGTAGTAGTAATAGAGTACTAGTACAGTAGTAACTATAGAGTTAATACAGTAGTAGTGTTGTAATTATAGAGTAGTAGTAGTACTAGGAGAGTAGTAATAATAGAGTTAATAGAGCAGTAGAGTTGTGTGTATCAACTCTAAATGGTAAGGGAAAGGATGCTCATTCTCTTCTTACATCACCACGTGCTGAAATTAAGCTGGTTTTCATAAACCAAATTTTCTCTGAAACCGAAGTGCGACTCCTGCTTAACGCACACAGATTTTTAATTACTGGGTTGATTGAGGTTGGAGAGAGCAGGAAAGGGGAGGTGGTTTGGGGCTGCTGCTGACGTGAGCCCGTGTGCAGGCGGGATGAGCCCTACTGGCCCGAGGCCAAGCGGCTGGCGCTGGAGGATCGCTACCACTCGGACTTCGGCCGCCAGGATCGCTTCCACGACTTCGACCACCGCGACCGCGGCCGCTACCAGGAGCACTGCTTGGACAGGTTGGCAAGGCACTGGCTCTTCTTCTTCTTCTTCCTGTGCCTTCAGGGAGATTTGGTGTCTTTTTAATCATTCTTGTGTATTTCTCGTGTCTGATTTCACACGTGCTTTCAGTCCTTTGTTTCTGTGGGTGAGGGACATAGAAAGAGGCTGCATAAAGATTATAAACCAAGTTCTAATGTAGTCTGCCAAGATGCTGATGGAGATACAACAGCTCCTCTCTAGGTCTATGGAAGTCTGCTTTATGAACCCCTAAGATTTAGCCATTTCCTTTTGCTTTAGAACTTCCCCTGTTTTCATCTTTGCAGCCTGGCTAATACAGGGTTTTAGTGCCACAGAGCAGGGTTTTAGTTTCTGTCTAGTGCCATTGAGATTTCTGTTTGCTCTCAAAGGATCTCTGGTGAAAACTGTACTGTTTGGTTTTGCTTGTAACTCATTTCTGATACAGGTTCACTCAGTATTCTCCCTTGGTGTCACTGGTGTCACTTGGCCATCCTCAGTGGTGCCTTTTTTACCCATATTGCAGTGATAGGTGTTAGTTTGATCTCTTTTTATACTATGAAACAAGAACTGTCTTGAGTTATCTTGCCAGTGAACATTAGCATCGAGATTTACAACCTAATGAAGATTAACTTTTCATGTGTTATTTTATGCAGACCCTGAAATTATAATTACAGTGTTGATTCAACTGAAACTTTTCTTTTTTGTTCCAGGAGAGACTGTACAAGGGGAATTCCAGATCGAGATGGGCAGGTGTGTTGCAACAAAATTACTGCTTCAGTTAAAAGCCAAAACAAGCTGACCCCAAAGCAGAAATGACACAGTGTGCACACAGCACTAATTGTTTCAGCTGAGATACTTAAGCGGAACTAATTTTGTGTGCTAATGAGCATAAAATAAATTATTTGGTTACTTGCTTGCTGGGGTGGTAGCCCCAGATACAGGCAAGGGGGAAACCTCTGAGTGATGGGAGCATCTTCTCAGGCTGATGTGTGGCAGTAAAAGCTTTTTGGTTGACCATCTTAGGTGTTAAAAGAGAGCTGCTGTACTTCCTTAGTTGGCAAATGTTGCCTTCTCTCACATTTATCTCACATTTATCTAAATAAAACAAACTGATGCCAGAATGAAACAAGGCTGTAAAAGGACAGGTGTGAAAATCAATGCCACAATGGGATTCAAAACCTTTCATTTCTGAGGAGAGGTAGGAAGCAGGCAGATAGTCTATGTAAAAATTTAAAAGCTGAAGCCAAGAATGTAAGCCTTAAAAAACTTTACCAAACAGAAAGACCTTTTCCACCAGTGAACAGCACAAAATAAACACCTGGAGTGAGCCATGCCCTACAACACAACCTGTAAAAAATAAGACAGCTACCATTTTTTCTGACAGCTCATAGAAAACAACATCCAAAAAGCCAAATTTTTACAATCCTAGAAGAAAACCTGGTGTTGGTTTTTAGCATGACTGTGTCCTGTTTGCCTTCCAGCACTACCCAGACGAGCGGCACGGGGGGCCTGAGCGTCACTCCCGGGACAGCTGGGGGGGCTACGGCTCTGACAGGAGGATGAGTGAGGGAAGAGGGATCCCCCCACAAACCCGGTTAGTGCCTGGGGGCTCTGCACATTGCCTCAGTGAACCTCTGGAGGGTGGCAGCAGAAGCAGCTTGACAAGTGTGAATCCTCTCTCCAGATCTTTGAGCACCTGCAGGAGCAGGGAGTTGCCACGTGTAGCTCCCACGTGCCTCGGGAGGGTGAAGCTCTGTAGTGAGTAAAGAGCTGCTCAGTTAGCTCAGCTCCTGACTCTGCTTCTCCTGTAAATAACTTTCATTTCTACAGATGAGATTCAGTCTGTTTCTACAGATGCCCCAGTAAGGCCTGCACAAGTCTCATTCATGGCCAGTGGTCAGGTTTTAAAGGAAATTGAGTGAGAAGTCTCTGCAGTGGTGGGGGTAGAGAACTTGGACTCACCTGAATTGTAGTGGTTTCTCTTTAAACCAGTTAATCAAGCTGGGCATATTCCAGCTGCATAATTTTCAGACTGAGGAGTGGCAGCCAATGAATTCATCTATGCCCAAGTATTTCAGTCCATTGCAATATCCATCATGTCTCTGGATCAAAAAAGACAAGTTTTGTTGTGTGAAGGATGCTGTTCAGCAAGTGTCTGTCATTGTTTCTCTTTGACCAGTTCTGATTGCAGTGGTTGGGTGGCTACAGCTATAGCTTGATTAACCATTTAACACACTATGGCATGGGGTATGGTGTTTGGCTTTACCCTGTGCTGCTCAGTGGGTAGGGGACATACCTAGAAGATGTTCTTTTATTTTTTTAAGAGATGGACGTGACTGGGGAGATCATGGTCGAAAGTTAGAGGGGCATCAAGATCGTACATGGCAGGGAAATGTGGCTGGAGGAGTGATGGGACGGGATCATGAGAGATGGCAAGGTACACTTGCTGCTTACCAGTGTGATTGTGGTTCTTTTCTGTGAATTACTGCTGCTGAACCTTCTAGTGGTAGTTAAATTACTGAGAAATCAAATTAAATTCTGGGAACAAGGTGACATTTTTATTAGGGAAGCACAAAACCCTGTATTTTTCTTTTTTTTTTTTTTTTTCCCTTTTTTTCTCTTTTTGAATTAGGTGGTGATAGAAGCATGCCTGGTCAGTCAGGACCAGGCCATGGGATGACTCGAGGAGGGACATCAGGGTAAGAACCTGTCTCAGAATGCTTTTATAATACCTTGATCTGTATAAGCCTGGATTGGCAAGAGGGGAAAAAACCCAACAAATTAAAGAAACCAACAAATTAGAGAAACACCTTTCAGAGTGTAGGAATGTGCCCCCTGTTGATGGAGTGACAGTTATTCCTTGTCTGCTTGAAAAGGCAAAAAGCCCAGAAGTTTCTCTCCCAATTTGGTAAAAAGACACCTCATAGGACTTTTGGGACTTCACCTCAGACCTGGGGCTGTCCACTGGACAGAGGCCAAGAGGTCCCACCTGGGTAATTCACTAGAAAAGGAAGAGAACAAAGGAAATAATTGCTTTTGTGGGGTGTTTTAGCAGGAGCAAGAACCTCTCACTTCTTGTTCAGTTTTTCTCTGTAAGAGCTTTGTTATTTTGCCTTTTGTTAAACCTTTTTCTGTTTCCAACACTACCTCAGAAGCCATCCTGCTAATTCGATGCCATTCTGGGCTAATTTCAGCTGTGATGGGTTCTCTGAGAGCTCATAAAACCTGGCTCCAGCAGAACCCATCCTCAGAGACTGCCTGGGCCGTGCCCAAAGTGTCCCTGTTGTACCATAGCAGTGAACCCTTGAACAGGGAATAATTAGCACTGACTCCATGATTGCAGAGGCTGATTAATCACTTCATTGTACTAATACTATATTCTACTCTTCAGAAAAACCCATCAGTAACAGGAGCCTCCTGGAGCCAGGTCTCATGAGCTCTTGGAGGTCTGTTACACACCCAAGATAGCTCAGCTACCTTTGGAGGCATAAAATCAGCAGGATGGCCCCTATTGCAGTGTTGGAAATAAAAAGGTTTTAATAAAAGGCAAAATAACAATCAGAGAAAAACAAACAGAAAACAGAGAAAAGAGGTTCTTGCTCCTGGTAAAACACCCATAAAAGCCATTAGTTTCTTTGTTCTCTTCTTTTTCTAGTAAATTGCTTAGGCTGGACTTTTTGGCTGCTGTCCAATTGGCTATCATTAAGTTTGAGGTGAAGTCTCTCAGGTCCTCTGAGGTGTCTTTTCACCTAATTGAAGAGAGAAACTTCTGGCCTCTTCTCCTTTTTAAGGCAACAAAACCAAGGGGCACATCCCTCCACCCCTCACCCACACAGCCCAATACAGCTTTGCCCTACTTGATCACTCAATCCAAACACCATCCCCAGAGTCCAGTTAAGAAATCACCCCTCACTAAACAAATAATAACACATTCCACGTGTGCAGTGGTTCCTCATTTTCCCTGAGCTTTCTCCCCGGCAGGGAGCTGTGTGTGTGTGCCCAGGGAGCTGTGTGTGTGTGTGCGCCCAGGGTGGTGTGTGTGTGCCCAGGGAGCTCTGTGTGTGTGCCCAGGGAGCTCTGTGTGTGTGCCCAGGGAGCTCTGTGTGTGTGCCCAGCCCTCTGTGTGTGTGTGCCCAGCCCCTGTGTGTGCCCAGCCCGCGCCGTGACCGCGCTGTCGTTGCAGGCGCGGCGGCTTTGCCGGGAGCCAGGGCCAGGCCGTGCAGGGCAGCGGCGTCCCCGGGCTGTTTGCAGCCCCCGAGAGACCCCCCAGGCCGAGCGAGCCCCGCTTCAGCCGCCGCTACTGAGCCTCGCTGTGCACCAAGGGCTCAGTGCCACCTGACACCGGTCGTGAGTTTTATTAACCCCAGGTCACCTTGAGGTTGTGGTTCTAAAAATGCCAGACTGCTGCCGCGCTGTAGCCAAATCCTGTGTCAGCTCGGTTTGGGGCGGTTTGGTTTGGTTTGGTTTTTTCTGTTTGTTTGTTTGTAATGAACATGGTGTTGGTCACACATCGCTTTTAAGTTTCTGTAAGTGAAACATTCCATTTTTCAAAAATAATAAAATCGGTTTATGGCTACTGGGTTTTTTTTTTGTTTCTGGCATCTTTGGTGACCTCGTGAGAGGTTTGAAAGTCATTGAAGAGACAATCTGCTTTTAGCACTGTGAGATTTGAGAAGTGATAGATGTGTGACATGGTGGATGTGGAGGGGCCTGGCAGACCCTGCCTGTCTTTAATTATTTCCTTTGTGCCATTAAGTTTAAATATTCTTTCTACATTTCCATTTTAGATTTCTGTCATTACAGGAGTAGAAAGAGGAGGAAGAAAGAAAGCTGGGAGAAAGGGGGAAGAAGAAGGAAGGAGGCCTGAAAAGTAGGATTGAGTTCAGTCTAGGGCTCAGTGCTCACCCTGTTCAGCTCCCTCTGATGCTGTTAGTCTGCTCTGCTCATTGCTTTGCACCTTCAGCCTAAAAACCTAAAAGCCAAACATGAGAATGCTCCCAGGGTCAGAAGTCACATCTCCCCCTTCAGCAGCCTGGGGACAGAAAGTGCCCCACATCCCCTGGGGATGCTGAGGGGAAGGAGGATGCAGGAGAGACCAAGAACAGGTGTCCCCTGGGGCTGTGCTCACGGGTTTGGGGCGATGTCACAGTGGTGGAGCCCCTCAGTCACAAATTTTAATTCTTCCTTCTCTTCCCTATGGCCCATCTTTATTTATTCCATCCACTTCTGGCTTTCTGTCCCTGCGTTTTAATTCCTGCCTTTAAAACTTCTTATTCATACACATACTGAGAAATAATATTAATTTATATAATAACTGATGGTTATTTCCAAATAACTCTTCATCTACTGTACTACACACAGAATTTTAGGAATTCTGAGTAGACACATATAGTTCTTGAATATACAGATAAAACTTTTGTGTTTATATATATATAAATTAAACATAAAGACCTTGAGAATGTAAGAAAATGGGTTCTATGAGGAGGAAATAGAGGTTTCTGTATTTATTTTTTCCTGTCTCTTAACAAAGTTAATGCTGAGATTTTGGCTCGATTTAAATCGCTGCCGCCGCCTGGCGGTGAGCGGGAGGAACTGCACGGTGCTGAGGGCTCGCTGTGCCGCCTTGTGGCCGGAGGTGGTACTGCAGGGCAGCAACGGGGTGACACCGGGGAGCCCCTGCTGTCCCCAGCACAGTGACATCAGAGACTCACTGCTGTCCCCAGCACAGTGACACCGGGCATTCCCTGCTGTCCCCAGCACAGTGACACCGGGGAGGCAGCCCCTGCTGTCCCCAGCACAGTGACACCGGGGAGCCCCTGCTGTCCCCAGCACAGTGACACCGGGCATTCCCTGCTGTCCCCAGCACAGTGACACAGTGACACCGGGCATTCCCTGCTGTCCCCAGCACAGTGACACTGGGCATTCCCTGCTGTCCCCAGCACAGTGACATCAGAGACTCACTGCTGTCCCCAGCACAGTGACACTGGGGATTTTACAGGGGGATCCACCAGAAGCCATCAGAACTCCTGGGGAAGGCAGGAGGAGTCCCAGGAGCTGCAGTCCCAGTGTGGCTGTTCCAAAGGGATCCCAACAGGATCCACAGGGACCCCAGTGACTCCAGAACTTCACAGAACAACAGCTGAACAGGAAAACAACACAAAAATGTTCATTTGCTGAAGGGCAGGATTCCACATAGGCAGGGGTGTGGGGTTGGCTTGGGTTTTTTGGGAAACTCACCCATATTCCCATCAATTTATAGAGGTCTAACATAAAATAGCAACAAAAAAAAGCTGGGTACCCCTTGGATATCTGCACACTGTAACACCTGTCACTTCAGGGTTAACAAATTCATTTCACTGCCCTGAACATCACCACAGAGAAATTTCAGAATTATTTTTAACAGCTCACAGCACGACCCAGAAACTTAAGCCTTGGAAAAACAAAATTTTCCCTTTATTTATATTGCACCTGTTTCACAAAGAGCCACATGGCACAAGTTCCTTCTGCTGCAAAATGCTGCATCAGAGAAAAAATGGGCTTGAACAGATTAGAAAGGAAAACTGAGCTTTGGAAATCATCATGAGTTGACCCCAAAATACCAACACTAGTTTTACAAATCACTGTGCACTTACAAAGCCCAAGTCTTGCCTCAATTTTATTTAGCATTCAGTTATTTAAAAACCACAAGCATTTTACCAGATGATAAAGATACTCTTACCACTTACTTTAGTACCACTGGGTAAAATTGAACCTGCAGGGGGAATATTTTTAAAGAGCACCAAATACTCTTTGGAGCTACCAACAACACCCACGTGGAGTGGGGAGAAATTGGTTTTCTTATTTCTACAACTACCCAGGGCTGCTTGAGGAAGAAGTTTTCCAATATTGTGATGTATTTCTGTGTAAAAAATGCATAGTGAAAATCAAAATATCTCAAGGGAGTCCAGTTGTAACCCTGGTTACAGCATTGGTGAGTGAGAACATCCACCCAGCTCCTCACCAGTGGCCATCATGGCACTCCCAGAGCTTCCTGCAAGGAATAAACCCAAACCCTTGGCTTTGATTTAATAACAGGGTCATTGTACACAGTTGTGTACTTTGCCCTCTTTATTCCAGCTTTTACCTTCCTACAGCCCTGGGTACAGAGTCAACCACGCCACTCATTTACAAACCAGCTTAAAACAAACATCTCACTTGGCCAAACAAAAAAACCCTTGCAGAGGTCCAAGATTAAAATGTTTATTACAGCAATGTCAGGAAGTTCCTCTCCCTGAATGTGGGCAATATTGCTTAAGGACTGGGATTTGGGATCCAGCAAATCCACCCCGTGCAGCCTGGCAGTTTTGATGACCCTGCAGCGCAGGCAGCCGTCCCTGCTGCAGCAGCAGCAGCTCTCCAGGAACAGATTCACTCCCTGGGCTCTCAAAGCACCCATTATCCTCGTGGGATATCCTCATTTTGGGCCAGGCCCTGCAAGCAGGGGAGTTTTGTTTCAGAGACAAAGGTCATGAGCCCAGACTGGAATTTGGGACAGTTCTGAACAGGAAACCCTCAGCTGCTGCCGAGACTACAGAGAAAGCTGAGCTTAAAAGCTGCCCTGGTGAGTGTGCAGGGCAAGCTTACTGTGAAAACACTTGCCAAAAAAGGTTTGGTTATGCTCTTTTAAAGGAAACAAATCTGAATATATTTAATAAAGCCTCTGATCTGGTTTTTATTTACTCCCTGTAGCAGCTGAGGTTGTAGGAGCCTGGCACAGCAGAGGATGGAGAGATGAGCTCAGAGGATGCCTGCACATCTCTGGGGCCCCACTGCCACGTTTTTTCTGGTATTTTACCCCCTGTGATGTAGAGAAGAATCACCTCCATTTTCCAAAGGGGAAACTGAGGCACAAAGACACAATTCAGCATTTGCAGGAATTCACCAGGTCACAGCCTTTGAGAGCAGCTGGAGAACTTCAGCCCCTCCTGAAAATCTCAGCCTGAGTCTCTCATCCTCAAATCAGTCTCTGCAGAGTCAGCACCTAATCCAAATCCAGAGTCCAAATCTTTGTTACTTGGTAAGTGAAAGCATTGAAATGTTGGGAAGTGAGCCCTAGAAATACACATTTGGCATTTTCCCTGCATTAAAAAGAAGTAATTATACAGTCATTAATACTGGAACAGGCAAAAGAAATTTCATCTGAAGGAAAGATTTCCTCATGACCTTGCTCACCCTGGTTAGGGACAGATTTATTTCGATTTTCTACCAAAAGCCCAAGTTCTCAGCTAGCACAAACACACTGAACTCCAGTCAAAGCCAGAAGTTCTGCTCACACACAGCAGCATTTTTAACCCATCTCTCAAGTTTCAGAAGGACCATTTCCTCTTTTGGACTCTCTGGTGGAAGGCTGTTCATGTAACTACCACCCCAGCAGCCAAGAGAATAAAATCAGCTTGATTTTGCACTTAAAAATAAATTCTTTATTATCCAGAAAGGAGCCAAATCATCATCTCACATCATGGAAATGGTCATTTTAAAGCAATAAATAAGAGGAGTGTTCTGTGACACACCCTGGGTTTTGTCACTGGTGTCTGGTACCTCTCTGGTTAAAAGCATAAAACTTATGCTATCAAAGTCTCACTGTACAACAGTCTGGGAAGGAAAGAAGGCTCCTAAAATCTTTTACTAAAGCAATGACAGAAAATTCTGATTCAGTGAAACCCAAGTTCCAGGATGGGTTTCACTTCATTCCAAGGAATTTCATTCAAAGGAAGGAAAGCCAAGTTTCATCCCTTCCATGCACAAATGCAGTACCTGACAGACACAATCACCTTGTCTAGAACTGACACTGAATCAGTTCTTAACCATAAATTATCTATTTACTGCTGATTCAAACAGTTTTTCTTTCATTTCCTATTCGAGGGGAGTTGCAGGAACAGCACAGGATACAAAATTTAACTTCTTTCAGCAGGAAGTGGAAGTCAGGCTAAATCCACACAGCTACTCCAACAGAAGTAATTAAGAAATTTAAAAACCCCAAACAATTAGGGGCTAAAAAAGATTTAAGAAACAATTAATAATGATGATTGTTCAAATCAATGCATTCAAAATATATAACTCATGTAAGAGAGCATAACTTATGCATAAAACTGAGAACAGAACACCTTTCACCTTTCAGTTTCTAAAGCAACAAAACAGTTTTGAAAGAACAGGTGTGAAGCAAGTAAAAAAATAAAATCATATTATTCCAAACACTTTTATTTGTGAAGGAGTTTCCTGCATGGCCAGGGGATAGCAATGTCTGGAGTTACAGGACTACATGATTCAGAAAACAATGATTATTTTAGGTTGGGCTTGGTTGTTCTCTGCCACGAGCAGTGATTTGGAGAACTGTGTTTTTCCTGAAGCAGTTCTGGGAGAGATCAATCCTTCCACTGCCTGCTCCTCCAGAAACACTTCTGCTTTGTCATCCAGGGCTGAAGGCAGAGGCACAAGAGTTGTGAATATCCACAAGCAGTTGCACAGATGCTGGAGATGAACTCGAGTTTACCTGCCTGCAGCTGATCCACCTCAGTCAATCCTGATCAGCACAAGTACCCCTTGCTTTCATTTCCTCCTGAAAGCTTCATTAAAAGGATCATTGAACCGTTATTGGAGAACAAGTTAAAGGTGACATTACCAGCATGGAAAGGAGATACTGGCCAGAATTCAGCTGCCAAGAGAACAACGAGCTGGCAGACTCTGAAAGGAGCAGTGACAGATGTTCCACTGTGCAGTGACACGTGCACCTCACCAGGATCTGCTCTGTGGGGTTGGTTCCAGTGTCAGGTCTGCCTGTTCCAGGTTTAAAGCTCTGCCCAGCAGCAGCTGCAGGTCCTGCACCACTCCCCTCCACACGGACCTGCCCCGCTGCCAAACCCGCACAGTTCAGCGGCGTGGTGACATTCATGGATGTACTGGAAGTTTTCTGATAATGCTGGGGACACTTTGATATCACAGTCTGTACCTGTCTGCCAGGATCCTAAATATCAAAACGGTTCAGGTTGTAGGCTGCTGGGTAGCTCTGCCTGCTGTGCTGGAAGTGCTCTGTCAGGAGGTTGCTGCGGCCGTACTGGAAGTCCCCAAAGGCTGCGAGTCCATTCTGGGACTTCTCAGGGGGGTTTCGGTGCCGTTCCAAGTTCACCAGGTCTCCAGTGGTCACTGGGAGCAGCTGCTGCTTCTTTGCCTCTTGGTTTGCGTCGTATTTTGTCTGGGAAAGGAAGAGAATTTGTCACAGAATCGTTTAGGCTGGGCAAATATTGCTGGGGGTCTGTGTACGCATCACAAACAGGATGGGGCTGCTGGGGAACACTTCTCAAGCTGTTTTATCTTCCAGGATCACTCTCACGACATGGTTATGGCAATGGGAAGATGCCAGCAGCTCACATCCCAGGCAGCAGACACAGAACTCAATGTTACAACTCACTTTAAAGTTTTTTGACCAATCACACAAAGCAAAAGCAAATTGGCAGTAGTTCTATCCAAGCACTACAAGCACACATACCTTTGGTTAAAACAATGCTTGCTTATTACAAATACAATACCTGCTTGTAAGCCTTAAAACACAATGCACAGAGCTCCATTATTAAGTTTAGAACTTCCCAACATCTCACTAGATATACTTTTCTGTAGCTTAGGGAGTTATTCTATCCAAGCATTAATACACAGACCATTGTTCTATTTGTCCTTACTTTCTAATTCTCATATAACTTTTTAGCTGACAAATCTTATGGCTACTGCTTAGCTCTAATTGCAGTTCTGCTGTCTCTAAAACCTCCCTTTTGCAGCTTTCCCCAAACCCTCTAATTCTAAAGATTCCCACAGGAAAATCTGAGATCATCAAGTCCAAGCTCTGCATCCCCACCTTGTCCCCAGCCCAGAGCTCTGAGTGCCACATCCAACCCTTCCTTGGGCACCTCCAGGGATGGGCACTCCAAACCTCCCTGGGCAGCCCCTGCCACAGCCTGATAACCCTTCAGTGAAGGTAGATTTTCTTAAATATCATCTAAGGTATCACCTAGACATATTCCCATACCCAGAAAAACAACCTACAAAAGTCCTACAGTCACATCACTTTTTTTCTTAGTCTTAAAATATCAGTGGCTTCTAATAAAAACCTCACTCCTCTCACACACCAAACAAACAAGCTGGTGTTTTGCTCAAGAGATTCTGAGTTACTTCCCTTTTCAAGAAAAGCTTAAGAACAACATTTAATTTTGAGAGAAGCCCAGCAGCTGGTGTGACCCCAGTCCTTCCCCTGGGCCATGCTCATCCCTCCTCTGCAACGGAGCCTTGTGCCCTCTGTGTTGTCTATTTTTGCTCAAGGAGCTCTTAACTTGTACAAACAGTAATTCCAAGCTGCTGGACTGCTTCAGCTGTGTTTGCTGGTGAATACAGCAAGGCCTGCCTCACCTTGTTGTACAGGAAGACCCCGAGGATGGCTGTCATCATGCCCAGGACGTTGGTGCTGGTGACGGGGTTGCGCAGCATGATCAGGGACACGGTGATCACCATGATCCTCTTGGTGGCATTGGCCACGGAGTAACTCAGGGGGCTGATCAGGTTTAGGATACTGAAGGCAATCACATTCTGGGCAAAATTACAGAATCCACTGATTATAAGCAGCATTAAGGTCCAGGACCAATGAGACATGGAGCTCTGTGGCAAAGCAAACAGCAGGAGAAAAAAATTATCTCAGGTTTCAGGTAACAACACAAACACAGCCTGAGGCACTTCTTACCTGCCATGGGAGGGAGGAATGTCTGCACTGAGCTCTAAAGAGGCCCCCAAGCTCTTTGCTTTATTAGTTGCAAGTCTTTTTGCAACTCCCAACTCAGAGAAGCCAGAGGACATTCCCCACGCACCCTGGGAGCGTTTGTTCCTGCCTCCAGCTCCCAACTCCTGAAATTTATGCTGTCCATAAACTGCCTCTCCTAACCCTGACAGGAATCCTCACAATAAACACTTTGTTAACTCATGTGAAACAATTTGCAGGTGTTTCACAACGCTTCCTCCCACACTGACAAGAACTACACTGAAACACTTCAGAGCACTTTTCTGGTTGGGTGCTGCAGTTTGTTTGGTTTTTTTGTTTTTTTTTTTCTCTCTTTTCTTTCATAATAGCAAACAGTTCTTCAAATTCCCTGGTTGGGTGCTGCAGTTTGTTTTTTTTTTTTTCTCTCTCTCTTTTCTTTCATAATAGCAAACAGTTCTTCAAATTCAGCACTTACCAAGTCATTCTCTACCAAGAAGGAAGAAAGATCCACCAGAACCCACGTTGGGATCATGAAGAACACAGCGTGGCACCCCAGGATGTTCAGCAACCGAAGGTGATGAATTCTGGAATCTCTCAGCACCTGACAAGAGCCATTATTGAACAGCAGTCAGGAAACAAACTGCTTTAGGGGACAGGTAAGTTAGGAAAATGAGTAAATACCCTTATAGTATTAATTTCCTATTAGGGTGATCAAAGAAAACCTGATGTCTCTTTGAAAAACAATGGTTTTTTTGGGTGGTGGCTCTTAGTATCATTAAGATATTAAAATTAAAATTAATAGTTCTACAAAACAGAAACCATTTTGTATCAAAATAGAGCCAAACCACACACTTTAATTTTGTTACTGTGGTTTCAAGGAGTGCCCAGTGTTGACAGTGACTTGTTCAGCACAGATGAATGATTTGATATAACAAGACACATTAAATGTTGAATTTAAGCACTATTGAATTGCCATCAGAAAAAAACAAATCCATGTTGAAGAGTAAAGAAAGGGCTCAGGATAAACTCAGTGTAACAGCTTCAACAGGTAGGAAGAGCTGCAGGGAATACACAAAATAACAACCATCCCTCTGGGTTCATCTGACAGCAAAGCCAACCAAAAAAACCCCATTTATGTAATTGAAATGACACCCTGTCCTGCTGAAGAGTGACACCAGAGCTGTGAACAGAGCTGTACCTTCTTTGAGAAGATGTTCTGAAGTGAAAAGCAGAGGGTAGCAGCAAGTGCACTGATGAGTCCCCACATGTCAAAGGACAGCTCTGTGACCGTGGCCAGCAGCACACCAGTGATGATGGGGATCAGAGACAGGTACACCTGCAGCAGGGACAGAGGGGTAAATGGCATCTGCTAAGAATTTTCAACGAGTTTATACATCCTGCTGATTTAGGGATCAACCCTTTTACTACTAGTTCAAGGAAAAGTGACTTCAGTAGACACTGACAACTCCAGTGCATCAGACAGCATCACCCTGGTCATTGTTTAGATGTATTTTATACTCACAATAAAAGGAAAAGTGATTTTAAAATCTGCATGATCTAATTCCAGTCACAAAATCCACCCAAAGCCTGAGCTCTGCTGCCCCCAGCCAGCACAGCAGCACCAAGAGAAGAAACCTCAGCAAACCTGTCCGCACCTTCGTCGTCTGCTTTTCCTTCATGATGATCCGTGACAGCAGCACCACCCAGATCGGCATCGTGGCTTTCACTGGGGACAGCAAGAAAACATCACTGGGGACTGGGACAACTCCAGCAACCACCGTGAGCAGAGGGATGGAGCAGGGGCTCAGCCCAGCCCAGCATGGGTCCTCCCTCCCTGTCACTGTCCTGGCCACTTGTACCAAGTGGATCTTGGAGCTCTGGGTACCCACAGGGCACACACCAGGGCACTGCCCCTGGATCTGCTGCCAGCACACACTGGGCACAGCTCTGGGAACCTACAGAACACACAGTGGGCACTGGGACAGCACATTGGATACCTGTATGAGCACTATGGGTACTGGGACACTGCACTGGGCACCCACAGTGGGTACTGGGACATGGCACTGGATACCTGTATGGGCACAGGGGGGTACTGGGACACTGCACTGGGCACCCACCCCACATACTGGGTACTGGGACACTGCACTGGGCACCCACAGCACATACTGGGTACTGGGACACTGCACTGGGCACTCACCCTGGGTACTGGACACTGCACTGGGCACCCACCCTGGGTACCGGGACACTGCCCCAGGTGCCCACAGCAGCACACACCGGGCTGCAGGTCACCCCACTGAGCAGGAATCCCCGCTGGCCCCCAGGACACCCCCGCGGGCAGCTCCTTCCGAGCCCAGCCGGCGCCGGGGCATCCCCCGGGCAGCCGCAGCCCTCACCTGTGTGCGCGTAGGACACGGGGACCCTCCAGAGCGAGACGTGCGCGGACACGGAGGCGAAGTACTTGCCGAAGGCCAGCGGGAGGATGTAGCGGGGGTAGGCGCGGGGCGGCAGCTGCGCGGGGCCGGCGGGCGGGACGCGCCAGGCGCGGAGCAGCGGCGGCAGGAGCCCGCACAGCCCCAGGATGTGGAACAGCGAGACGGTGACGGGCCGCGGGAAGCCGCCGAGCAGCAGCTTGTTGACCACGTTGCCGCCGGCGCTCAGCCCGTACCAGGCGAGGCACAGCGCCGACACCCGCGCCCCCTCACGCAGCGCCGGCCCGCGCCCGCCCCGCGCCGCCCCCGCCCCGCCCGCCCCGCTCCGCCCGGCCCCGCTCGGCCATGGAGCCCCGGGGGCTGCCGTGACTCACCCGGCACGGCGCTCGGGGCAGCGGAGCCGCCTCCAGGGAGGCAGCGCCGGCCCTTGGCCAGCGCAGCGCCGGGGCAGGGACGGAGCGAAGGTCGCGGGCTCGCAGGCACCGGGACGATCGCTCCCGACCTTTAAAACTAAGGCGAGGAAGGCGTAGCGCCGGCCGGGGTAAAGGATGGGTGAGTACCTGGCAGGCAGGAGGGGGTGATGTAGAGCCCGCTTCATCCATGCACCCTGTCAAGAGACATTCCTGCAGGATTAATTTGCCCATAAAACCGCGCACTTTAGGTGATGGCGACTCCCCAGAGATTTGCTGATGAGCCATTTCGTGTCATCCGTTGACAAGGAAGAAATGGCAGTGTTTTAACTTCAGGTTTTAGGATTAGAAGGAAAATTTTTCCGAGAGAGGTGGGAGAAGGCAGCAGAGAAACTGAGTCATGCACAAATGAGAGTACACAGCAGGTACGCACATGGTAAACTTCATTTGAACTTGTTTACAAAATTGACAAAAAAATATCACCTTGTAAACTTATTCACATTTGTTGGAGCTCACAGAACTGGTTATACTGGCATGCTGAAATAAAGATTGTCAAGCCTCATCTCACCCTGGAGGACACACAAGTGAGTTGACCCTTTACAGCAGCAACAAACTCAGCAAGGTACAAGATTTAAAGCTTGCATTGGGAGGGAATTTCTCCAGCAGTTTTTGTACCACCAGGGAAGGGGCTGGGTCTGATTCCTGACGCTCCCCCAAACAGAGGAGCACCAGCACAGGCAGTCTGGGTGCAATCTGAAAGCTGTGATGAGCTTCGGGTATCGCCTCACCCAGTGCAGTCAAGGGCCATCAATTGCATCAGAAATGGAAGCAGTGGAGAAAAAGATGGAATTTATCAAGTAATACTTTGTCATTTCCTGAATTCAAAGGCCTCCAAAGAGCACGGACCCTGTTCCTAAATGGGACCATTCAGGGAAGGAGGAAGGGCAGGGGGAGATAAGATGCACAGTACTTTTTTACATAAACAAAACTGAAGCATTTCCAAAACGATCAGCAGCTTAACCCTCTACCATCAAATCTGAGCTGCAAGACAGGAGCTTTCCCCAGCTCTAAACCACACTGCTCAACCTCAGCAACTGCAGAAGGACAAAATGGAAGTAAACTGAAAATATACTTGGATGCATTTTTTGGTAACCACTTCTGGTTTCACTCTCAGACCTCAGATTTCAGAAATGGAAGCACACAGACATTGTTATTTCTGAGATACCCACACATTTCAGTAACAGTCAGATCATAAATGATGAACAAGAATCACTTAAAAATAAACCAGACTTCATCAGTTGTATTCCAGGGAATGAACCAACACCATGCAGGCCTGGCCAGGAGCCCCTTCCTTTGCAAACCAGGGAAGAGTTTCACTCTACCCTCAAAGGCAGGACAGCTCTTGCCAGGGCTCATCTCCAGCACAGATGATTTAACAGAGTTAACATCACTAAACCCAGGAATATTTTTGGTATAGTGTCCCCTCCCCAACCCCCTGAACAGAAGCCCAACAGTGGGGACTGCATCAAACAACACAGTCCCAAATATTAAAGCAATTACAGTTAATAGAAATCCTTCACTTTCCACACCCCAGGCTGCTTCAGAAAGCACTGCAACAAACAGGAATAAAACATTACAAAGTTACCGAGACGAAAAGATGAAATCTGATCTCTTTAGACTTTGAGGTACATTATCAGCAGTTGGGTTATCAGTCTCCAGAGTTAAAACAGATCCACCCTGTGTGACTGGACAGCACAGCGAGGTTCTTGGAAGACAATCCCGTTCTCCCTGCGGCAGTGTCCCAGGGATTCGGCTCCACCTCCCTGCTCCGAGGGGTCCCCGGTGCCAGGGCTCCCCTGGCTGGGCTGAACTGAGCAAACTCGGGGGGGAAAATCGAGTGGAGTGTATAGAAATAATTCACAAACTGGTTTGTGCAAATTTTTTTTATTTCCACATTTATATCACAACGTGTCCACTTAAAGGACCAAATAGCAAAGTTGCTCCCTTCTGCATCCCAGGAACACAGAAGTCTAGTTACTGTACATTCACTAAGGCTCTTTGTTTTTGCAAATTGCGTTTATGATGGATATCCATAAGGCAAACAATATCTAAAGGAATGGTAACAAGTATATTTCCAGCATACAAACAGGCTTCCTTTTTCCCTCTCACAGTACAGTTACAAACTTGTAGCACCCTCATTACATTTAGATTCTAGAAAAGGTGATTTTTCTTTTTTTTTTTTTTTTCTTTTTTGTCTTTTTTTTTTTTCCTTTTTGTCTTTTTGTTTTTTTTGTCTTTTTGTTTTTTACCTATAAGTTTGCAGGAAGGGAAAAGGAGGAAAAATATTTGGCTGGTGGTGGTGGGATCAAAAAATATCGTTAAACATCTAGTTTTTGCAGCATTTCTCAGAGACTGGATTTAAACTGAAACCAGACTAAAATATGTGGATGCCTATGGAATGTTGAGCTGAAGCTGGTGGCCCAGCCTGCAGTGCAACACCTGCTGTTTAAAACCCAATCTCCGTACCACATGACTCTTAAATAACGCAATCATGTTCAGAGATGTGATAGAAATAAAACTACAGTTTTTGCACATTGTCTCTCGAATATCTCACTGCCAAATAAAAACCCAAATCAAGTCAAATAAATAGATGCATATTTTGTTAAGGTAACTTCCACAATTTTTCTCTGTACCTGCCTGTAATAAGATTCCGGCATTCAGAAAGTGCTGGAAATCCTCTTCACTTCTTGGGGACTAACACTTTTTTATAGCTGGCTCGCTATGGAGTTTTGAACTCAACTGATCAACCTTCGTATGCCTTCCTTTGCAATTGTTAGTAAACTGGTAGCAGCATTTCACAAAAGGAGAATTTAAAGGAACGAGCTGGAAAGGCCCAGCTCCCTCCCCCCTCTGCTCGTGGGGCCTGTTTGTCCAGGACAGGAGGCTCTCTCCAGCTGGAAGTGGCATCGTGTCTGCCAGTTCTGCTAACTGCAGGTGTAAAAAGCGTGGTTAGCAGAACTGCTCTCAGTCTAGGCAGACGTAAGGCAGGATGTTCAATCTCCCATCATCCCCATGTGGATCTAAGGATATGCACTGTGTCCAATCATACCAGTTACCCTGTGTGTCATAACAACCGTTCACGCCTGGCCAGTTGTGGTCACGTATTCTGTCGAGGTCATCGCCCGTGACCTCTCTGGTGACCCCAGGCAAGTCTGTAGGTTTGCTGTTAGGAGCTAGAACGTGAGTCTTTCTAGCCTCTTTTCTAGTGCTTTCCTCCTGCTTTAAATACTCAGACATGAAGTAGTGAGCTCCTGGAGTCTGTACTCCTGATGAAGACAGCAAGCTACTCTGTCTGTTTAAATATGACTGAATTATTTCATTTCTGGACAACTCTTTCCAGTTCGTTTGTTCAAAGGGGCTTTGCAGGTTGGGTTTTTGCTCCTGCTTTTCCGTTTCTGTCCTGTGCTGTTCAGTAAGTGCAGGGATTTCTACCTGCAAAGGATCTTTCGGTGTTAAAGGTTTTATCTGTCCTGTCATGGGATCAAAAGTGAGTTTTCTCTCTTTTAACCTCACAGGTTTCACACCCCCTTCTATCACGTGCCCATCCAAGTTGACTGTATAGTCTCTGGGTCGGTACCTTTTCTTCTTTTTGCTATCAGACCCTGAAGCAGCATCGTCACTGTCCATTCTGGAAGTGTCCTGTGGGAAGCCCATGTGTGATTCCCCGGGGTGGCCTTTGCAGCCGGGAGCCGTGTGCTGCTGAAGTGTCCCTGCTGTGTGCCTGTGCTGGCCCTCGGGGGCTCCCTGCTGCTCCTGCCAGTGCTGTGCCGCCTCGGGGGCCGCCTGAGGAGGGAACTCCAGTCTCTTGGCTGGCATGGGAGGTGTGGATGGTTGCATCAGGGATGGCGGCGGCGACGGCACCGGTGCGGCGTCTGCGAACTGAGACCTTTGAGATGGACTGGGCATCGAATCCTTTGGTGAGTACGTGGTGTGCTGCCGAGCAAAAGTATCATGCCTAACGTTCCTGGGGCTAAAGGAGGAGCAGCGTGGGCTCTTGGGCTGGTGGGGGCCCGTGGCTTCTTCTGATTTATCATGCTGCTGAAGCACTGCAGTCTTTAGTAACGAGGAAGTGCTTGAAGGTTTTACAAGTCCTGGAGAACTGGTGTGAGGTTTTACAGCATTTACTGGGATCTTATTGTGTTTATCGTTTTCACTGAGATCTGTCCTGCTGCTTTCAGGCCCTGCATGTAGGTTTATGTCTACAGGACTAGGAAAATTTTCAGGACTACCTCCAATTCCGTTGGTTGGAGGGGGTGAAGAGTTTTGTAATACTTCATGACTAGCTTTGGAGACCTTTGGGGGAGGAGGGCCCTGATGCCCATCCCTGTGATCACCTTTCCTTTTCCTATTTCCCAGTTTCTCTGTTTTTGGAGAATTGAGTTTCTGGATATCATTCCTGCTTTTCAGTTCGCTGATGGGCTTGGCGCCGGGCACAGCGGGAAGTTGTGAGTCTGGTTTGCAGTTGTGAGCACCTCCATTTGCTGATCCTGGCGGGTTGGGCAGCCCCCTTGGCACTGGCTCGTTCTGGGTTACGGGTTCTATCAACTTCTGCCAATTCCTCAGCAATTTCTTGGCACGTTTGGCAAGTTCCTCATTGGATGTCTTCTTCCTCACCTCATTGATAAGCCTCCCGAGTCTGGTTTCCTACAAAGACAGACAAGGTGGTTTACAAACAAGTATGATTCCAAGCAAAATTCTTAAGGAATGTTTCTGCTTTGTAATGCTCACCCCTGAGAAACACCTGGTTAAAAACACTAAAGATTTAAGTGTTGAATTAATCTTTTTGGAAAGGATTAGTCCAGTGCTCTGCCACACAACATGAAACTGACTGTAGGTTTCAAGTCATGCTGTCTTTATCCCCTGGTAAGAGCAGGAGAGCTGGGAAAAACATCAGAAAGGAATTCTTTAATGAGAAAAAACCACCAGAATAAGGGTGCAGGCACAGATTCGAGGAGAAATACAGCACCCAAAGGTGTGTTTATCACAAGGGAAGTAAAAGATCTGCAGAGAGCCAAAAGAAAAGAATTCCAGGATCTTTGCCTGTTACAGTAACTTGTTAACAATAAAAATTTCCATTTGACAAACCTGACTACCAGGTGTGAGTTGTGTCCTACCTTTTTTCTCCACC